TGCTACCGCCAGCATAGCTCTTGGGGTCACTGAGGTACTCAAGCCCCACCACCGCAAGGTGCAGGAACCAACTATTAAACTCTCCACAACTTAAATCTAGCAACAGCCCCAGAGTGCAGACATTCAAATCCTTTCTCCTAAACAGTAAATTTTAAAGATCTCATATGATGTGATCACATCAGAAAATCTCAGGAGGGGAATACTGATGATTGTGTTTAAACTTATTTAAGATGAGTGCAAGTACTTATTCTTTGCCAGGTTTTTAAAATAAGCTGAAATGAAATAATAGAATTCCTTATTTCTTTGCTAAACATCTTCAACAAAATCCTTACTTAATTCTTGTAGATATATGTATATGGAATAATATTCTATGTGTATCTATCTATAATAAACTTCATCAACAGTGTAAATAATAACAGGATACTTTAACCTCTTAACTCACAGAATGTTATAGTGTATTACAAGAAACAAACACTGCACCATTCGTTCCTAAAAACATAAAGAACATGACACATTCATCCAATGGCGCTACGACCCAAGTCCGGTCCCAGCCTCCCTCAAAGAATATGATACACAGTTTCTATTGTTTACAGCAATGGCACAGCATGATTGTAAAGCTTGTAAATACCAAACAGACTGATTTGTGTATTAAACAGTATGTGATGTAGACTGCTTTATGTACTGCATCATGTACAATCTAGCAGAGAGGGTGTATTTAAACAGAGAGACAAAATAATTTAATACTACAGATACAAATTCATACAGATATAAAGTTACGTATTAGTGCATTTCTACTTTACATATAACGTGATCTCAACAGTTAGCACCATCCCCTCTGGACACTCAGATAAATCAACCTTGTCTCAAAAGTGCACTTACCTGGCAAAGGTTTATGTGTCTCCTCGTCCCGTAGCTGGACAATGAATGGGTTAATTCCATGGCAGACACCTTTGGTATGAAGTTGAGCAACAACTACAGCATAGTTCGCTGTCTGTCCCACTGTAAAAATAAATAATCAGCAATTACAAGAATGAGGTTAGAAAGCACTGTGGATATGAAGTGGTTTAGAGGCTGAAAGGAACATGAAGTAGCAGAAGTCTGTGTCCTGTACCACTGGCTAGAAAGCCTTTATCATTTATTATGAGAGTATTATAAAATGAAGAAGCATGAAGTGAGGTCAGAAAGGTGAAAGGAAAGAGACAAATGAAGAGAGGATAGAAGTTAGAAACAAACACATGATAAATAATGTATATAAGATATTTCAGTTGTTCATGGGTGACTTATTCATTCATGCTGAAACTACCCATTGCAGTTTCTAGGTACAGACTACAGCATTCTGTCATGCTATAGTTATTGCAACTTTTGTGAATAATTGGAAGGGTCAGGGTGCGAGCCCGCCTGGAGCCGCCGCCGGTGCAGATTTTGGTGGTAGTAGCAAAAAACCCAGTGACAATATACGAAAGATGGAAAAAATAAAGCGATAAAAGAAATAAATGGAAATAATAAAACGAGTAAGTCTTGCATGAAATGGAAATAATATAGATAACAATATTTTCAAATCCCTGGTTCATGTTCTGACAATTAAGTGAATAAACTAAGGTTTTGATGCAGCATGTGGCAACAATGACAAGTTGCTATGTGGTGGATCATGTTGATTCAGCAGTCAGTACTACTGGTAACATGGCTGAGATTTGAATTACACACCTGCAAACTACTGGATGCATAAGAACATTTCTATTACAGTAACCTGTTTTATTTCAATCTGAACATTGTCTACTTTCTGGCTTAAAAGTGTAACCTAAAAAAATAGTACAGATATGTATAACCAGTGTAAATACAAAATACATTACAGGTAATGTAACAAGTTAACAGAATACTAACATCCACCAGGCCACCACTTGTAGGATGTTAAAGTTGGGCTGTTGAGAATGAACTCTTGTGTTCTAGGATCATAATGGGCTGTAGTTTCCAAGCCTCTGATGAAAGTCCCATGTCCAAGTTCAGTCTGAGAATAAAAAATATTTCTACAATGGCTACTTTTATATTTAAACAATAAAGATAAAAAATGTTTGAACACGTAAATCACAAAAAGTGTAGAAATAAAAGCCTATGTCTAAAACCCCAACATGATTTAACAGCTCGAGACATATGAATAACATTTCAATGCCAATAAAAATTCCTTACTTGCGCATATGTCCCAATGATATCACAGTTCCAGGCTTTACCCATCCACTCAGCCTGCTGCTCCACTGTTCCCTGCCCAACAATAGTTGGAAGGAACATGACATAGTGAAGGGTAAATGGGTTGCCATCCTTCAGAATGGCACTACCCAGCATGCCACTCAATGTCTGCCTGAAACACAGTGCACCACAGAATGTTACTTGTTATGTCATTTTACCAGTTGCTTTTCTCAGCAGATCAGTCTGACCCACAAAATCTTTTCAAACCCACTTGTGTGGGTTAGAACATGACTTACTTCTCAACACATTATAACACCCATGTTTTAATACTGTACTGCTGTGATCATCTCTGGCGATGGTAATAATTTCCAGTACTCACTTCTGCCAAAGAAGTACATCACATCATATTAACACATCTATTTAATTTCCTAACTTGTTCCTTCATTTCCTCATTCCATATAATGCATTTCCTGTCTACTTCCATGTTTCTATCTCCCCCCCCCCTCCCCAACCATTGCTCTGGCCAAGTTTTGACCTTATCTGAAACAATGGTCAATTTCTACAAGATTATACAGAACAATATCCCACAAGGCTGTCATCTTCATACTTGCCACTGTGAGAACCTAAAATCTCACTAAGAGATATTTACTAATCTACATGTAAGCCTACTTATAATGCTGCAACATGACATCAATGTCCACCGAACTTAATACAACCCACAGTTCAAAATCAGTGTGCAATTAGGAACTGTCCATTTGTCACTATGTTCAGAACAGCCTCCTATTCAGTGGGCACAGGGATTCTTCAAGCATAAATCCCTGTTCGACCTAATGCAATCATCAACATGCTTCTGGTATGTCTCCACAATGTAGTGCACAGGCATGTAGCATCTTATAATTTCAGTAATTTTGCACATTGCTTAAGTTTTTGGCTTTGTACTTTAGTACTTTAGGTTTCTTCGTTAATTCAATGACACTTCATCAACTATGCTGATGAAATCATTGAATGATGGATTGAGAAAGTTGTTAAAGTACTTGCAACCAACTTTAAGGTATTATCAGAATTTGACTGATGGGACTGAGAAAAGCCATGAAAAATCTAAATCAAGGTAGCCAGCCTCTAGGCCAAAATTTCTAACCCATATTTTTTAAATATAAAGCAGGACTGCTAGCCACTAAACCATAACATTCAGTTTTTATCTTTCTGGTAAAAACAAAATATATTTTCCTTGTACAATGTTAAATGTCAACATTCATACTATAATTTCCTTACCTGAATATTTCCAAATCACCACCTTTATCACGCAGCTGTGTAACTTTTCTGAACAGGATACATGCTTTTCTGACAGCCTCTTCATATTTCTCCTTGTGACTCAAATAATCTTGTGGAATCGTGTCTCTGAGTTCTGGGTCTGATAAGAAGTAGTGTTCTGGAATGAAATACAAACATGAACTATATAACTCCAACAGCAGTTCGTTCATCCCTCATAAAAAGCGGTTAATACCACTGTATTTATTAAAGATCATTTGATCGCCCTCTTTTCAACGCAAATTTTCAATAAACAGGATAACACTGGGATATATTACAATTTGGAGGTAAGTTTCTTAAATTTAGTGTGTTTATCACAACATTGCAAAGACACCACAGGACCATCCGCCCTTTGCACTCGATACGTATCCCACTTACCTCGTTCTTTTCTTTCCCTTGTTTTCTCAGGACTGCCATCTAACAGATGTGTCAGTTCCAAAGGATCAAACGAACACTTCTTTCTTTCTCTTTCGATATCCTCATTACATTTTACATTCTCGGTCTTATTTAATACCATAGTTGTTTCGTAGAAAAATATCAATTTCGCTAGCGTAAGCTATTTCGCATGTAACGTCTACACAAAGTCAGCTACTTCTGCTGCTGCACCCGAATGTCATACACCTAGCAATGAACTTTGTACTATTAACTTACTAACGCACGCAGTCATACAGATAATAGCTAACGTTTCGCATGGGTTGCCTATATGACACAAACACACCTGCTTTCTGTCAAAATCAAACGTCTTATTTTCAGCGTGCACGTGCCGAGTAACTCTCCATGCACCCGATGAAAGTACGGAACACGTAGACAGATATTACAAACTAAACAACATCATACGGCAACCCAGAAATCGCAAACATGCGTATTGCGCTACCAACTACCACACCACAAATGCGCTAGCAAAGAAGCAAGAAATCCAGGCATAATTATTGTCAGTGGCGTAGTAAAATAACGAGTTTTATGAGAACAGGGACAGAATTAGCCTGACGGAAGATTCATCCAAGTTCCGGTACCAAGCTCCAAATATAAGTATGACAACTAACTTCCACTTCAACTTTCACCCTGATCATCAACTACGAGTGCTGGTTTGGGTGCATTGAATTGTCAAGTGTTAACGAACACGTATAAGTGGTTTGTTTTAAACAAAGGAAAAGAGACCACTTGGGAAGCACTGACGTTGACCGAAGGATAATTAAAAGTTATCTTAAAGATAGAAATTTAACTGAAAGGGTAGGGTACATTGGGAGAATCTTCTGAACACTGCAATTAATCTTCAATTCTGTATTTGGCAAGCAACTTCTTGACCAACTGAACGACCATCTGTTTCCAAAAAATGACTGTTCCAAGTGGCTAGCCATTGAAGGAAGTAAAAGTATCGGACATTTGGTTGACCTTTAATTGCGTTCATAATAAGTTTTATAAAAATCTGTCAATTATTAATGTCAGACCCATTGCCTGAAAGGACTGACAGACACAGCAAACTGTTCTCGTTAGGATGAACTGTGCTACCACTTCATCAATGACGAAACTTCTTAATTATAGGCCCCTACCATACAGTATAATATTTATTATCATTAATGAAAGTAATGTTGATGTTAATAAATGATTACAGAACAATACTGATCTAGAAGTATCAAATGGTGACCACTGGGCAGAGAAGAGTTGCCAGTAAAAGAGCAAGTCTTAACACGAGTAGTAGGATATACTTAAATCATGAGTAACATGTTGCTTGTAGCGCAAATTACTTCTCCAATACACAACAGACTAGGCTAGTACCGTGAAGTGTGATGACAAAAAGAAAGCTTAAAATATATAAAATGTGATATTTACTATACATAAATTATCATTCAGCCTGGCTTCCAGATGGGTCTTCAGCCTCACTGGGTCCCGGAACGTTGCACCGCCACTGATGGCAGTGTATCCAATATTACCAACAAAAAAAACGTTCTTGACCTCCACAAAATGCTTCTTCCCCTCTGCCTCCTTCATTATCCCACTTAGCACACACAGATGTGCGGTACACAAGGTCAATACTTAGTGCGACCATCTTCTGCATAGGGTGGTCCAACTAATTCAGCACCACACCCATCTTGCTGTTACTAGGTAATGTTACATCATGAGCTATCTTAAGGTGGCGACTGACTTGTAACATTTACTTGTAATGTAACATTCGCGGCGAGCATGTTACATTACACCACAACTGGTGAGGCGTATCGAATGCTCGTTTTGAACGCTCGGCTCGACTGTGCTCATGTGTGCTCCATTCATTTCATTCAATATGTCGGACGTGGAGGTTGTGTTATCTTTGTTTCATTTAATACGCTACTCTTATCTAAAGAACTCGTGAATGCTCGTTACGACGCCGCTCGACTGACTGACTGACTTGTAATGTAACACTCAAAGGGATTCGCGAAAAAACCGACAACACGATGGAGCGCCCGCGAGCGTGAGCGGCTCGCATCGAGCGGCTCCGTTCGCTGTCTTCACTTGTGTAATGCTCGATTTGTAACACGTTACATTACAGGCAAATGTTACAAGTCAGTCGCCACCTTTAGATGTAGAAGACGTCGGTAAATCTCGCTAGTGCAGCTACGCTTGAAAATGCCAGAGTGGACGGTCAGAGGTGCGTCCAAGCCATCAGCTCTACAATTTTTCGTAACATGCTGGTTTTATATGGGGAGAATTTCTTACTATCCCGCCTAAACCCCAAGGTGGGAACACAAACCACTTGTCGAATGTCTGCGACCGCTTATTCAATACATCCACAACTGTTCCCACATGTGGAGGTTGTCCCCTCACTATGAGAAAGTACCCAATTAAAAGGAGATCTCCGTGTCTAGCTCAGTAATCACAAGAGTCTCTGGAACTGGTAGTGTTAGAAAATTGCTTTTTGTGTCGGAGTTGTATTTTACTAGTAAATTCATTTTTTAATAAATACAGAATGAGTCAAAAGTATGTTTACAAACTTCGTGTGCGTGTTCCAGGATCAAAGACAAGAAAAAATGTTCCTATGAACATGGGGTCGCAAATGTTTCATTTTCGAAATAATAGCCAAAAATAAGTTTCAATGAATTGACTTCATATCAAAGTGAATCCAGCTTCCAGCAAAGATTTTCAATTAATGTTTGGGCAGGAATTGTTGGCGACATGCTTACTGGTCCACGCGTCTAAGAGAACCTTCATGTCGGTGATTATTAAGAAGACACTTGCCACGTCTCCTTGAAGATGTACCACTGAATACAAGAAGCAAATGTGGTTTATGCACGACAGAGCCCCAGCACACTTCTCCCATCGCGTCAGATATCATCTCAATGAACAGTACCCTCAGCGATGGATTGGGCGTGGTGGCCCAGTATCATGGCCACCAAGGTCACCGGACCTGACTCCATTGGACTTTTATCTGTGGAATCACTTGAAGTCTGTCGTTTATGCAACACCCATAAACAATGATGACCTATGGGAACGTGTGTAGAATGCATGCCAGATGATTCCAGGAAACCCTGGTGTGTACGAACGAATTCGCCAGTCTTGTGTACGTCGTGCTCGTGCATGTTTGTGGGATGGAGGAACAACCTTTGAGCATCTGTTATAAAGAAACATCACAGTCTTTACACTTTGCAATAAAGGCATTTTTTCTTATTTTTGATCCAGGAACACGCACACAAAGTTTGTAAACATACTTTTGACTCACTCTGTATGCCTGAAGACACCTGCCAGTCCCACACGTGGATGTTGCGTAATTGCGAAAAGTCCGGAGTGACGGCATGATCGGAGACACGTTGCTTCCAACTGGTGTTACGTCACACCTCCCGATACGTCCTCGTATTTATTTACGCACGTACATAATCTGTAGGCATGCGGGATACAAAAAAACCTATGGAACCACCCACAAGAAACACACCAACGCTGATAACGTCATATGTTCCATGAACTTTAATTTTTCACGGCTGGAGTTCAATGTATAACCTTGGTTTTCGGGGTTAGGCCGCGTCGAATTTCTTACTTTCCCAGCGCTTCCATAAACATTGTAGTCGCCATCTATAGGGTGAATGTGTAGAGGCTGGGAGTTTTTAGAGGTCTTATGTTGGGCAGACTTCCGCTCCACCAGTCAGTCGCAGACCTGATTGACCACAACGTATTTGCGTTTATAGTTACAACCTAAGCAAGCGTTGCTGATCAGAAATCAGACACGAAAATACATGGTCCTTCCAAGATCGCATTTGTCATTCGATTAGCTCTTTAAATAATGCATGACTCAGTAAAAAAATATGTAGATATAAGCACACCTTAACTTCTTCTTCGACTGCCTTCTCCGCTAGCGAAGGCTGGCGATCACACCGCTAAACTTTTTTCACGATCCTGTGCGAGATGGAACAAGGCAGTCGCACTTTCGATCCCGGTCCGTTGGCGAATATTCTGTAACCACGATAACACCCCTGCCCCATTTAAGGGGCGCCGGAACTCGGGGCCGTGATTAACACACCTTAACTAGCCAAGACGTAATGTACCGAACTTAAGATACCTTCCTTATACGTCACAAACCAGAAACTTGTCAGGCCGGAGACCATTGGCCATTCCGGTGGTCGTGAGGTGAAAGCCCGGTCCAAACTGGTAAAAAAAGAGAAAAAACAGGGTATGAAACAAAATAAACAGAATGGGTAATGGAGGACTGTATAACCAGTTGCCAGGCCAAATTTCATGAACAGAGTCCTACTTGAAAAGCTAATAGTCGCTCAGCCGGCCAAAAAATTCCCAGCTTTTTTCCCCCAACCAAAGGTTCCTTTCTGTGTTCCCAACAACTTGCCACTGGTTCCTGTACTGAGCCAAATTAAACCATTCTCCACCTTCATACCCCTATTTTCTCCCTAGCATCTGCGCCATCCCACCCCTTCAGGTTTTACTTCCAAGTTTTGTACGCATCTCTTTTCTCCCATCCGTGCTACATAACCTCGATTTGAACACACCAATAATATCTAGTGAAGAGTATGTACAAATTACGAAGCTCATTAGCAACTTTCCCCCGTCCAAATCATCCTCAGCTTCATGTCCATACACCCAAAATCCGCTTGGTAGGCCTAGCTGCAAGAATTGCGTGGCTTTTGCAGGAGATAGCCGCATTTAAGTGTACTTGATCATGGCTCAGCTTGCTGGTTCAAAGGTCGCTTTATGGTACTGAATTCAAGATAAGAACGTACACAGAAAATTATCGATAGCAATGGACTTTGTTCTACACAACAGCAAAATAAATGGGAATCTGTACTTAATCTTGCTGCAATCGATCTGCATTACGGTTGTCAACGTCACAGCACAACGTTCAGTATCAAAACATCTAAAATTTGTGGGCCTTATGATTGTAAATTTCATGGGAATGAAAATAGTAGTTTGTTGAACTGCATAGGACTAGCTTTATAATTTGCTGAAGTCCCACTGGACAAGCAGTAAAGCACATCCTGCAGATATTTTCATTGTTGCTAAAATACGCAGTTCAATGTCGTTTTTGCGGACAAACATGTTGCTGTAGCAGTAACATTCTGCACTCATATTACAACGGTATCTGGTTCGAGTCTCGGCAGAACTGACTTTGGTTTATCGCAGTTTTCATCATTCTGCTCAACCAATATCTATGGGATCATACCACCAAACTTGAGACGATCTTCTTTCCAATTCTCAACCACTCGTCATTCATGTTTATCTTCACATCTCATTCGATATATATGTAAATGAAACAGCGTTGTTAGCCAATGCAATATTGAAAAAAAAAAGTATGTATTGTATGCACTTCTTACTGAACATGCATTGCCATAAACTACAGTGAGAGATTGGTATGTGAGGAACTATTTGGTTTGTATGAAAATCCATAAAATTGTTTACATTTTTAAAGTATAAGAAACGTCTATCAGAAAATCCCTATGGATGATATTAACTGACAGAGTTCCAGAAGTTATCATTTCCGGATAAGATAAACGTTTGTGAACTTAAAACTGAGCGTAACAGAGTTCAAAGATGGCATATAAGATAAAGCCTCTTTTCACTTCTATTACTCAAAGTGTGATGTACTGAATAAAACTGTATGAGGCACATTTTAACAGATTATGTGATTACAAATCTGATTTTACTTTACAAACTAGATTAATTCTTCTTCTTGGGTTAATGTTCTGTCAGTCTGCAAATCACGGTTGTAATAATGGCCCTCTTCATTCATGTTAAAGGCCAAGTACTTTTTGACACTGCACTCATCCGGTCACCTAACTGAAATCCCTCTCTCTCTTGACAAAATCAACAACACTTCGGACGTCTCTAATAGGGCAATAGACAGTTTTAGGAAATGCAATTCACCAATTTCTAGCTACTTCTGGAGGGTCCAGCACTATTCTGTGACTCGGGTGCCTCAGAGGTACTCAGGAATGTTCGAGAACAGAATACGGAGTTCTAAACATCTCGTCTCTCATTCCCCTATACCAAGGTGGAGTGGTAATAATCATTATCAGAAGCTTTCATGGTGACAAAGCATAATGAATTTCTCAGGGTCCACACCAGAGTACCCTGAGGATGAGGATGGCAAGGAAAGGGTATTTTGAAAGAAATGTATATGCAAATGACAATTCTGAAGACAAAGGTGTTATAAATGTCATAGACAGTGACAAACATTTTGCAAAAAGTGTATGTAATTAGTATATATAGTATAGCTAATAATATCTTATTGAGATATTCATCTTAACCTTATAAAAAGAATACAAATTATAGCAGAGTTGGAAGGAAAACGATCTAAAATATCAATTAAACGTGGAATGGAAAAAAATTACATATCTGTAACAAAAACACGTCGAATTGTAAGAATATTTATGACGACATGATAGGATGTGCATATAGTTCAGATGACACAAACAAGAAATTCTGAAAGCAAGAAGCTTCTAAACTATGGACTGAACAGAACTGCCCAGGAATCATTGTAAAAGCAAGCCTTTGTGTCAAAAACTGTTTTTTTCTAATTCCAAAAGCTTTAGTTAACTTCATTTATTAAATCCTTTTACATTATAGTTAAAATGAAGACAACTTTTACTGAAGTTTCAGATTTCTTTCTAAATTAATTCCAACGTGCTTGTTACCTAATTAGGAAGGCTATACAAGATATAATTAAAAATAATTATGTACTCAGAATGTCATGGAAGGCTTGATGACATCATGATTCACAGAGTCAGTGACTGATGGAAAATCAAAACAAACCAAGCCTATTAATGGAGTACATTATTACATAGTCCTGTAATTCTGCTTTAGACTTGCTGGGCAGATAAAGGTTATGTTGCAGGTGGTCTACACTGAAACAGAAAGATTACTGTCAAAGAACAAATTTTTATAGGATATGTGTGAAAAAAAACCATACTGGAATACCATAATGGAAACAAGATTTATTCTGAATGACAAAAGTGAAAAAATATCATAAACTTTAAATGAAGAAAAAATGAATGACTGGCATTCAGCTATAATTCTAATTTGGATGTGACACTGAAAATGCAGGGTAGTACATAATCTTAAATTGTAAACCATAATCATTGCCCTCATAACAGAGGCAGTATGACCTCAGAAATGATGGTGGACATCTACCATATTACACGGCGCAACAACCCAGAGGACAGCAATCTTCATACACACCGCTTTGAAAACCTCAAATCCTACATAATTTTGATGTTTAAACAATTCGTAAAAAGAGAACTATCCCTTAAATATTACAAGTATGCTACAATAAATATTTATGATACAGGTAAAGCATTCTCTTGCTGAATAATCTACACCCATGCTTAATTAAGTTTACACAATGTAAATGTATGAGGAGGTGGTGGTATAGCACCACATATTTTTTAACCTTGGCACTAAATGGAGATAGTGACTCCCTCTCTCTGCTGGGAATCAACTACTCATCATTCAGCCCATAGCCTAGCGACTATAATGACCGACTTATCCTGGCTTTTATAAATACAAATTATGTGACCAAGCACTCTGATATATTCAAGACTGACAACTGTAAGGTTAATATGTTGAACCTGGCTTTACTTTAACGGTAAAGAAATCAACGTCAAAGAAAAGGAAATTTTGAAAACATACTCTGATATAGTTAAATACTATTTCGTCAAAAACCGATGTAATGATGCAGAAATTTTACATTAATTTTAAAAATGAAATATGACAGAAACTTCTACCTAATAAGAAACCAAACATTGTAAGAATAAGTTCAACTTTATGAACATAAAACACTCGGGATAAAGCTGTCTGATCAATTCTCTTCATATTTCTGATGCCACTCATCTTTAGCATATTAGCACTGACATCACACACAATCCATCCTAAGACTGATCATAAATGTGTTGTCAGGGTGACAGTATCATTGCTGGCCTATGGAACAGTAATATTAAGAGAAATAAACAGGCAACACCTCTAACAGCATCAGGATTCCACTTATCCCACTATGAGGTAGACAAGTAAGTTCCAGTACCAACTGTGATGCACTGTTGTTAAAAATGCTGTAACCAGAGTGAATATATAATGATCTTTCACCAATAAAGGACATTTGAAAAACTAAATATTCTTATAGGACTAATTCATGGTTCACTCCAGCCACATTTTAACTCTGCTGTAAGCATTACTAAGTACACAGTCACAAGTTAATGCTTATGAAGAGTATTACAGCCAACCATCAGCTGTTGAAAAGTATTTATAATTAGCCTAAAATATTTATTGATGCATCTCCCTGTATATACTCCAAAATGCAACAAATCAGGCTCAACTTTCTTCAAATGTTAATATCAACAATTAATAGGCATTACAACTCCTTCCATGGTTAGTTAGTATGACTCTTCCAACACATTCACTGCTGGGAATTTTAATGTCAGTTCAAACTGTGAGCCAAGCAGTCCTGGCAAAACGGACATGATCATTGTTTTATTGTAAAAAAAACATGGCCCTAATGTATGTATGCTGAAAATCAACATGTGTTTTAATAACTGAATGTCCTGCAACGGTTCTGTAGCGATCAGATGTGCTGGGGAAAAAAGACCAACTACTTTGATGACTGAGCTAGGATGTTGCAATGTCATTGGTGCTAAAAGAGCAACAGTTGTCACTGGCAGTTTCTTTTTCGTATACAGTACACACCATTCAGCATGGTGTGCATTGGTGGTTAGCAGGATTCACGACTCATCAGTACATGGGTTCGATCGGGACCACGACATTTAAAACTCCTGCTGTGACCACCTTTTCACAAAATGATGATGAAAGTGCAGTAATTGTTGTGATGCCACAGAGAAACCGCGGAGGAAAACTCCGTGATGCCTGGACCACGGCCTTGCCCAACACAAGTTGTAAATCTGAGCACCGCCAGGAATCGAACCCGGGACCCCAGTATTACAAGCCCAGCGTTCTAACCGCTAGACCACTGTGGTGGTTGTCACTGGCAGTGAATGAGTTAAATGTTAACAGCAACAACCATTCATACTCAGTGTAGCTGCCCTTCCTGTTAAAACTATAATTGTTTGTGAGAGGCTTCAATGAGAAACCACTTCATGTTGTTGGTATGGAGCAAAATCTCTGTTACTTCCCTGACAGCACGGTACATGCATCATGTTCTTCTTATACCTAAAAATATTAAACCACACAGACAAATCCAGTTCAGCATAATTTCTGTCTTTTGCCAGACCCAGCCCACTCTTCCACTTTACAAGTCAGCTCCATCTATTTCTTGCCATATAGAGGGCTGCGAAAATGCCCAACCATTCCATATTCACCCTACAATGTGTGCCGAAACGGATACTTTTCAACATTCACTGCAGCTCATTTCTAAAAGCCAAAGTTGCACAATGAACTCCACACAACAATACCTAAGGACAAGGATGTACATATCATTCAGAAAAGTTAGCTGCAGCAAAACAAAGCAACCTTCATCATTGTACCCATCTCTTATGGCACCAATGGTCCTGATCAGAGAATACGGATAAGACTGGATGATATGATCAAAGAAGCTACACAGATGAAGCTGCATCCCAACAAGAAGAAGTTGGAAGATGCCCTGAGCAAATCATAGAAGCTTCTCAGCATCTTGAAGGAATGAAAGGTACTAAGGTACTCTTGAAGGACAAGGCACATATATCCAGTTTACCTGTCCTTTCCTGTTTCCCACTTCCTACAAGCCTGGAAAGGGCTTTCTGTCCTGGGCTCTGACCGGCCATTTTCTTTGCTCTCCTCAGACTGATCCTTCCACCATTCCTATATAAGTGCATCTTTTCCCACATCCACTCACTTCTTCCCTTAAGATGGAGTCAGCAGGTTTCTCAGAAATGATGGTAACCACCTACTAAAGTACATGGTGATGCAACTAAGAAGATCTCAATTTAAGAATAACCTAAAGTAATTATATGTATTATATCTGAACACTTAATACAAATTTGAGCAGTATATACTGGAAAATACATCAATAAATTATGACTACAGAAAGCTATGCTCACATCCCATATAATCTTTTGATTATCTTCTTGGATCAAGAAGCTCATCAAAATAAAACTTACCATCTGAAGAATCATTTGTTGAATTACTTATTACAGCTCATCCATTGCACTTAGCATTTATATAAAAAAAGTTATTTGTCCACAAAACACCCTCAATTAGCGTTAATGTCCAACTTAAATTTTATCTTTACTAAAGACTGCTGCAAAGAATGTGAACTGACCTCTATAACATGAAACAATCCAAGAAATTTAGGGAAGACTAAATAAACTTAGTTATGATACTTACAAAGGTTAATTTTTTCCACTACATCTTCCACAGTGTTAGCTATGCACAGCATATAATACAGTCAGAGAAAATTGACAAATCAACAAAGTTATTAGTTATTCTTTAAAAATCTATTATAATATTCAAACAATACTCAATAGTTGTATTGAAAGGTTAGGACATTCCAGGATTTCAGTCAATGTGAACAAGTAATAAATAAAAGAAACTAGCAGCCTATCTCCGTAGGCTTGATTCGGAGGATGACGGGCACACTAGTGCATGGAAGGATTGCCAACTCTGTGACTACAGCAGTAACAAGGTCGGGTGGTGTAACATCATATGTGAGGTTCAGAGGGGTCAAGCTGCCTACACTCCTCCACTGTGACAATGGGCATTCCTTGGAGGAAGCATCTGTTGGAATGAGGTCATCAGGATTACCTGTGCAAAACAAAATAAATATTTCAAAATGCAAAGCTGGCATATTCTATAAATCACTTTAAATGATACTGATGAAATGTTTTACTGCATGATCTTTGACCCCCCACAAAAAATTATATTTCTTGAACAAGAGATTAAACTTCCCTCTCCATGAAATACAGCAGGCAGCAATAAGTGGGTTGCTCCGAAACCAAGAATGTGAACAGCATAAATCAGCAAAAAGATACTTTGCTTCAGTTCAGAAGTGAAATATTTTGTGAATAAATTATGAGACAATCATTATTATGATGAATATACTTCTTATAAAAGCTGTAACAAAATTGATTAAATACATGTAAATAAAGTCAGAACTCCTCCTGCGACACAATACAACAGTTAACATCCCAAACATGATTTTACAGCAGATACAGACAGCAACTCAGAGACAACAGACTTCTTTCAAGAGTAGTGGAAAGAAATATGGAATAAATTCTGTTGGTTCAGGATAAGACCAAATGACAGACTCTTGGGAAAGTGGAAATGAATATTTGGATTCTATACAACACAAGGAATTTATTGATTGTATGAGTGACTATTAGCTTCTTAAGGACTCTGCTCCACAGAATTAGTTCTTTAGTACTGTGAATACATAAATAAGAATAAAACTACTACACAAAAGCACAGAGAGTAGGAAACTGAAGACAGGGCTGAAAGTGTTAAAATTCATACTTAGATGTAACAAATATTAAGAAATCAATACATAGTCTGTGGTGTTGTATTTACTGTCTGCAAGCCTGCTCAGTTGTCAGAAGACATAATATTCCTTAGTACTAAGACCATCAACTGCACAGTACTGATTTGCATTTTAAAGTTCTTTACAGCCTTAAGCCAGAAATTAAATGAAATATTTACTGAGATTTATGCACATAGGCTGTGTCCACCTAACACCAGGTTTGAGGACCACAACTCTTGTAAAAACTCTCTGCTAGTGTTATTTCCTACTATACATATTCTATCTTATCACTACAGTCCTACTTCCCCTCCCAAATTCAGATATTATTGATCATTTATTTTTAATGTATTCAGCCAGCATTTGTTTACTCACATGCTATAGGAAAAAGACAAATAGCAGGAATTAACTAATAACCTACTTCTGAAAAGCTAATACTTCAATCTTGCTTAAATGTAATTACAAACATTCTTATCACACATAAAAATCAGACTTATTGTCCAACCGTGAACAAGCAGACAAACAAAAGAAATATTAAAAAAACAATTACATGCACATACCAAGTTCATTGTACACAAATGAATCAGTTTGCACTCTCTCACAGAACTTGTGTGTCTCACAGCACACTAGGACAGGAACATTGTGTGAATGAGCCAGCAATGCCACCTGTGATGAACCTGCTCGAGACATTACATAGCCATTTGCCAGAAGTGCATGAGCTCCTAGGAACACCTTTGTTACCTGGAAAAAGCATATTCTTTAACTGTAAGGCTTGGGGGGGGGATGTTGTGCATTTGCACTGGTGAAAGGAAGTATAGTTTTAAAATACAAATTCCCTCTCATTGTGCCAAAACTCGGATTCTTAAAACTTGTCAATGTAACCATTTGATGCAGTAAAAGTTAAAGAGTAATATTTGATCTCTCTACGACAAAAATCGGCGTTTAACTGGTCCACAGTATTGGAAGTTACAAGTTGAAATATGGCACAAATAATAGAAAAATATGTATATCTAAGAATATACATGTTTGGTACTGAATTTGTTTGTATTAGCATAGATTTTCACTCATCCCATAAGTCTTTTTTTTACTTCAGGGCAACACTTCTTACACATCCACTGTTACCTAGTCCATTTGCAGTTCTTCTAGCTATACTACAAGTATATCTTTGTGAAGCTATATTTCTTCAGTATATTTCATCAAAAAGTACATGATCATGGCACCTCCAATTTGTTTAAACTCTGTGAGGCCAAACAGCAAGCAGTATGACTCCATACACAGACAGATAAAATATTCATACCATAAATTTGTTTCTCTTAAGCTGCAATAATGTACACTAAGAAATGTTTATGATATCCATATATTACAATTTCAAGTACTAAGGCCAACAGAGACCTGTCATGGATATTACAAAACTGAGTCCTTCATCATTCCAGTTTTGTCTGTACAAGACCTTGAAACAATTAGAAGTCCCATCAATTCGTAACAGCCAGAGTGGTAAGTTGAGTGATATGTTGCTACATTTAAAGCGTGTACAGACCTCTCTCATGATGAAACTTGCAGCTGAGACAAGTACATATGAACAATGAAGTCCACACTCCACCAGACGACGAAGCATCTCCCGGCCCTCTCTCCATGGACGACCATCAACTATAATCACCCTGAACTTTGTCCCATTACGATGTGCTTCCAGGAGAATTCGCTGGAGGAGTGAAGAGCTAGGGGGCAACATGGGTTATGCAAGACTTACAAAACATATTAAATAATAGCAATAGGTAACGCATTTTAAGTTTATTGCATATGGTCTACATAGGAAGTCTTGAGGAAAGGTTTGTGCTAGCTGATAGTTATTGATCACAGTACTAGTTTGCCTGGGCTGGTGTACTGTTCTGAAAACTAATCTACAGACAGACCATAACTATCTAGGTGAAATGGATCCCTGAAATATATAAGTTCAAAAGAAGAATAGAACACTGTACTTACACATTACTAGTAAAGTCCCTCAGTCTCAAAACTGGGGTTTGACACTGTATAGTCTGAGATACTGAAAAGCATCATTAAATAAACTACAAATAAATAAAACTGGGAGAAATGAGAAAGAGATAAAAGTAATATATAAATAAATAAAACTAAGAAAGAGAGTGAGGGATTAAGATACAAAAGTTGCACTAGTTTATATGTAAATAGCACTATTTATTTTAAAAAGTTCCATTTCTATAACTGTTAACTGTTTACAGTAATATTGAATATTACTCAAATAACATTAAGATACTTTGTAATCAGCACAAGACACAAAATATTGATAATCAAAAATATCTAAAACTTACCACCCATAAGTTAGAATAACATCTCCATTTGCAATCTTCCGCTGTACCATGATGCAGATTGCTTGAGCAGCCACTTCAATTTGTTCTCGAATGTATGTGTCAATGGCTTCTAGAAGTTTCTTCTTTGCCTGTTAGAAAAACTTGTAATATTCCTAAATCACATTCAATAAACACAACTTAGACAGAAAATGACTTACTACCAGATAAATGGAGTGAATTTATACTTCTTGTAACAGTAAATTCTCTGCTTATCTGTCATAACGGTACTTAATTTTTTTATTAGACTTTCTTTCAATGCATTTTTATGTAACCTAGTGCATACCAGACCAGTATGCTACCACAGGGCTTAGGTACATAATAAAATAACAATATTGGTTTACATTACTTAAAGAAGACATTAATGCCAAACGATTTCTATAGTTGGAAAGTAAAGTTGTCTACATAGGTTAACTGACATAATACTTTATTAATAATACTGAATTTGCAAAGAATGCATGTGTGTATTCCTGTACAGATTACACCTTTGCAGCCCTGTTACCTCAGAGTCAGAAACATTGTTAGATAGCTGTGTCAGCTGCCATGTGAGATGTCGCAAAGCATTGGTCATTGAAACTGAAATTGGCCGGCAACCATCCAGAAACGCAACTGATGGCTGTAACTCTGTCTCTAATCCTCTTGAGAATTCTTTCTGAGGAGGTGTCTCATAGTCTCTTATAACCTGCAATAAAGAAATGATGTTATACACACAGGTGAAGCATTAATGGCTGAAATAAAGAATGAGAACAAAAGTACAAATCATCACAAGTAGTGGACAATATAAATTATATGGACACTGACAATGGCTACAAATTTTTCATTTAACAACACTTCATAAACAGCATGGGCTGCAATGTCCTGGTTTCTGGTTTATTCAATGGCACTTTCAGTAACTTCAATTATAGAGTCAAATGATTGTATGATTAGTGAATAATGAACTGAAAAGATGTGGAAGAATGCAGTTGTCACCTAATTTTAAGATACCATCCTGGCATTTATCAAGAGGGACTAAGAAAAATCCACAACAAACATCACTCAGGACAAATGGTCTTTGGGACAAGATTTGAACATGACACCTCAAAAATACAAAGCAGAGAAATAACCACTTAACAAAGATGTTTGGTGTTACAGGAACAAATAACACAATAAATGATGATGGGTATTACCCACACAACGTTTAAGTTCACAATCCAGGCACAGACAAAGCAACCACGGCTCACTGTAGACCAACAACAGAAACCTGAAGTAAAACTTGGGCCAGTGGACATTACGCTGATTAACTCAATTTGGATAATACACCAACTCATGTCCAATTAAATGTTCAGTGTGCTATTACATGAAGTATAGTTTTATAAAGTGTGATGTTTTACAGTGCTTTATAACAAACCATCGTTTCATGAATTGTATGACTTTAATAGACAGACTAATGAATTAATATTTTTGGCACTGATGATGACCTCTTGAGGCCAAAATGCATTTGGCACAAAGTGTTATTTAATGTGTAAACAATTTTGTTTGTATGCAAGATTTCATACAAATTATTTTATCTCACAGTTATAATTTCACTGACAAGCCTTAGTAGTAACAACATATTTTACTCTTCACTTTACTACCTGCTTCAAGGCATCAAGCAGGGCAATGCATCGAGAGTTTGATCCCACAACTACACGGTCAGCATACTGCATTCCAAGCTTCACTATTGCTGGGTGTAGAGCAGGACCATACAGCCTGAAAATACATTTATCACAATCTCCACCAGCATTTTAAGTACAGTTACAATATTGCTTTGAAACAAGCATGTAAGAAAGAACAGACATATAACAAATAGCTAAATCTATTAGTTCTGTTGGCAGTGAGACTGTAACTTAAAAAGCACTTACATCAAATTTTCTGTGATAGCCAAGGGTCCTCTCTCATGATAAAGGTGATTAAACAACTTTACTTTGTGTTCTGATGTCTTCACTTTGGTAAGCCGTTCAATCTTCACAGCCTTCTTGTTAAGCTTCATTATACACAAACAAAAAATGTTTTAATACTCTCAACATTCACATAAATTTTGCACAAAGTTTGGAGTATATTTCTCCTGCATAAGAAACATTTAATAAAACATTCTTATAAACCAATAATTACTCCACTTGAGCTCTTTTGTCACAAAATCTTATATGTCACTTGCCACGATTCCCAGGTTTATAACATGACAAAATGTATTTGAAAAGTATGACAGACCAGTAAATAATCATATAACTTACGTCCACTGTGTCAATTTTTAAAGTATGTGCAGGACAATTTGAGTACTTCTGACTCTGCTCACACCTGAGCTAAAGAGTTTATGATTGAAAAATAAATTGTACAATTTCAAAAACAGGTAAACCTGACTACAATAAAAGCTGGTGCCCAACATGAGCCTAGCACATGTATAAAAAAAGCCTGCAAAATGGTATAAATTTAATAAAATTATATTTTTAAAATATTTACAGGCCCTATAATTATTTTATGGTAACCACCAGCACCACAACCCATAGGGCAAACAAAGAACCAAAATAGGCTAATAAAGCATAATGCAAACTGCAATACATTACATTATAATACATTTCTAATAAAAAATAAGACATACAAAACTTTTCATTTTATGCAATTTACCAAATACCTGAAAGTTACAAAATGTCACAGACAGCCTTGGAACTGGATTATATATATATCAAATTCCAAAGAAATAGACTTTAAAGATAAAGTTTTCTTTAAGAATGACCTAGGTTACAAGAGATAAGATGAAGAGTATGCAGTTTTCACATCTCAGTTATCTACCTCTTCAAAGTTTTACTGCAAAAGAACTGTATTTCAGGAATAAACCATTTTGAAGATCACATGAGAATGGCACCTGTCAACTGATTTCCCTTAATGTTGTCAACAACAAAGCCAATTAACATTGTTATGGGCCATTTTTATATTTACTTCCTTACTCAAATAAGCACACACAAACAATACAATGTACACAAATGCAATCTTACATCATCCCCTGTATCCTTCCTAGGTTGTTTCTCTTTAGAATTCACAGCTGTTATTATGGCTGTTGATTTTGTAGGATGAACCTCAGCTTGTTGCTGGACTGCTTTACGAGCCCGCTGCTGTTCCTGCATAAAAACAAAACCAATGAACAAGTCAGATCAGTTATTTTATGAACAAGTACTCTTCACCAAATATTACTAGGGTAGTCAAACCAAGGAGAATGAGATGGGTAGGGAATGTAGCACATATCAGGATGAGAAAGACGTACAACATTTTAGTCAGAATATCTAAACAGAATAGGAATAGTCTTTTGGAAGACCTAGGTGTACATGGGTGAACATTATGCAGGATCTTAAATAAATAAGGTATGAGGGTAGACTGTATTTAACCGACTTGGGATCGAGTCCAGACACGGTAATGAAACTTTAAATTCCATAAATGACATGCAAGAGCTTCTCAAGGTCAATGGTGTCTGGAATTAATATTATCTACTCAGGTTATGCAGCATAAATGGGACAAGGCAAAATGATGATAAAAAGAAAATGAACCAGACTTGCAGGATGAAGCAGATATAGTCTATACTATGATACACTCTGGCATTTTGCTATTTTCTTATCAATTCACAAGCCACAAGACTATAAATTTGAACAATTTACTGAAATTCCATGTCAGCTTATTAAAAATCCTACAATTTAGGTCTACTATCACAAAAAGATTCACATATTACACAACACTACTTCTTAATATACTCAGTCATTAGTGAGATGTCTGACAAAACTATTCCGTCAGCAATATTTCAAGATCAGATTTAATTTCTCTTGTGATTCACATGTATCCCTCAAAGTGTTCATTAGTAAGACGGATTCTAGTTCCTGATCTTACGTTCTTCAAAAACCTTTAGCAGATGCTCGCAATGACAGATATGGCTAAATACGGATGGCATTAACAGTATACAAAAATTAAAATATAAGTTGGTATAGCTAATCTCTGGGCCTACATCTGAACCTGGAACCTTCCAGATACGAAGCATGAGTTCTAACATATGAACTGCAATGTTCAATACTGACTATGATTATATGCAATGCTTCCAAATTCAGTTTTACTGGATCTGTTAACATAACATATAATCCACAAGTTCAGGTAATTTATATATTCTCTAACTATTACACATTTACCTGTTTTGCTCTCCTTTCTGCTCGAAGTTCTGCCTTGCTCTTTGAGGCTGGTAATACTGTTAAGAACTCTGGCCCATGACTGATCTCTTTCACTTTTCCTCTAAATTTTTCAGTTTCTCCATCTGCTTCATCTCCCTTGATATTACGAGTAGGAACACTGTTCTCTATTTCCGAATATCCATCTTTCTTTTTATTCGGCTCTATTCTCTTTATAGGCAAGTTGTTTTCAACCTCTGACGTTTGGTGGCTAGTGTCTTTCACAGGACTATGAGGCTCCTTCACATCTGAGAACTGGATAGTTTTCTTAGAAACTGAACCACCGTCTGCTGTACATTTAGTCACACGTTTGGCTGAATCAGTGACTGACTTCTGCTGCTGCCTGCTTTTGCTAGAACCAGTTGATGTCTGCGCTTTGGGAACTGGAACATTTTCAGACGATAGAGGAATAACTGAAATTTTATTCCTACCCAATTTATCTGCTCTTTTTGCCTGACGTGCAGCCAGTATTTCTTCCCTACTCTTTTCTGGCCTGCAGATGTCAGAACTTTCCATGGGTTTTGTTCGTGAAGGATCCATAATAACTTTATCTTGTGATAAAATTGTACTGGATTTAACAATTTCAGAATCTAAAACTTCTGAAACACTGCTATAGTTTGGTAAACTTTCCTGTTCTTTACTACCAGAATCAGTATGAAAGTCACGAAATACAGATTCATTCACTGTATTACATCTATTATCTGAATAACTTACTTCAGCATGACTAATGTGAGAGACACAATCTGGTTTGTGACCTCTGACCTCTTTTAAAGAAATTACACTTTCTACAGTTCTGTTAGCCTCAAAGCCAGTTTCCTGATTATCGTCACTATATTCTGTGACGAAACCAATCCACCGAAACTTTTCTGCACCAGAATTTTCTTGGATTTTCTCTGGCAGTTTTTCACTGTCCACCTTTTCCTGAGCGGTACAACAAATATTTTTATTCAGTCTAGTGCAAACAGGTTTCCCCTCCTTTGAACATTCAGCATTTACTGAGGGATGAGATTCAGTAATAAAATTCCCTTCTGTTCCTCTACATTCAGTTACCATGTCATTTTTACAAACAAATTCATCTTGACACTCTACAGTATTTACTTCTGCAGCTTCTGCATGATCAAGTGCTTGTTCTTTATGGGAGTCCTCCAGCCTTGGACTAACAATGCATGTACTGTGTTCTGACACACTACAAACTTCAGTATTCTGTGTCCTATCTCCTGGAAGGATATGTTGTTTTCCTGACAAACCATCTACCAGTTCTGAATCAAGTTTTTGTAAATTGGAGACTTCATAGTAACCAAACTTTTCTTCTTGGTTTAAATCACAAGATACATAAGCATCTGGCACAAAAACCCTGTTTGCACTGTTTGGGATCTGATTACTGTTGGCACTACTGGTTACTCTGTTCTCAAGATTAGGACTTGTATAAATTGGCCCTCTACACAAACCTCCTTTGAACACCAAACTATTCCCTACAGAATCTGTATGGTTCAATCCCTTAACTACTTGATTATTTTTTTTGGACACAGATACTGATTCAACAGCATCATCATTATCTTGCATGTGTCTTGACAAAAAATAATCATAATTTGGAGATTTCACCAAAGTAAGAGTTGAAGTACTTGAATCTTGGCTTGGCTCTTTTTTCACAGTTTCAGTTAAATTCTGAGGAGCTAGGGTAGGATAAATCCCTTTATCAAGTTCTGGTTCAAAGTACTGTGATGTAACTATGTCCTCACTACCCTTACTATTCGAGTGCAGAAGTTTCTCAACAGCTGCAAATTGAGTTCTTCCTCTCTCAGAGAATGTACCATATGTATTGAAGAAGTTTTTCACTTCTTTTTCTGAGCAGCGAGATGATAATGTTATATCATTAAGCAGAGCACTACGAAAAAGTCCCTCAACATTGTCATGGGAGAGAAAATTGACAAGGTCAGCTCTCCCTGAAGGAGACGGTACCTCTGTCTTGCTGAGGAATGGAAGTGAGATATCATCTAAGTGAACCTTACTGTCAGGGAATGGCAAATCCTCTTCACAGTTGGAGGAAACCTTAACACTAGCACTGCTGTCCAATGTAATATTTCCTTCCTTCACCTCTGATAAGATATCTGCAATTACTGTCTTCTCAGACTGTGTTTCTTTCACACTAATGACCTGGTCTGCTGACTTCTTAGGATCAGTGTCCTTTAATATTTTGGTAAAATTAACAACATCTTCAGAGTTTTTTACAGCATCTCCCTTCCCTACTATACTACAATTAGTATCCTTACTTATGTTCGTTATGAGACCAACAACTTCCTTATTCACTGATTTCAGAGCTGTACAGTCCTTGTGCAGGGATTCTTCTGTGATAATACAATTGTCTGGAGCATATTGTGACTTCTTTTTCTTCTTCCTTTTCTTGGTTGCACATTTGTCTTTTGTTGACTCTACAGAGTTAACAATGTTAAAACCAAAAGACTTCAGCAACCTCTTTTTTCTAATTCTTCGCTTTTTTGATTTGCTTATTTCTGAGCCAGTCTTTGAAATCTCTTCATTCGATAACTTCTGCTTTCCTTCTATTTGACCAGAATTACTTGGAGACACAACTTTTTGGTCCAATGGTCCCTTGGACACACTTTTCTGAACCAATAACCCCTTCTTTGTATCAGCTTTCTTTGTTGGGTTTTTTGATCGCTGCTCAGTATCTTCAGCTCCCCTTGCACATAAAGCAGGATATTGCTTCTGTGTTACATCTGCAGACTTCTTATTCTTCTTTCCACTTTGCTTCTTAGTTTCATCTTTATTACTGTCTTCTTTATTTACACATTGATTATTCTCTGGTTTACCCTTATTCTTTTTAGTTAATAAAGCTGCTGAAGGTCCTTTCAACCCTTGCTTTGGCACAGACACTACTCCAACCCCCTTTGGTTTCTGGAGTTTAGTATTCCTAGCTAAATCACCAGCATTTAAATTACTCTGATTTTCTGCCACTGCTTTCTTCTTTTGATTTTGTTTTGAAGAAGGCTTGTTATGATGAGCCTTTTTGATGTTATCTGAACAAATCTGAAAATTAAACACAAAGTAAACTTTCAAAACAAATGCCTGATATTTATTTTCTGTCCTAAAAGCTATCTTGAACTATACATCATGACCTTCAATTAAAAAGAAAACCTGATCAGCCATAGCAAACACACTATACAGGTTATACAATCTACCAACTTTTAATTGCAAAGGTATAAGACTCAAAGCAGTCATAAATTAATATCAATAAATAAGAATGCACTTATAACAAGCCAACAGCTCCTGCGTGTAAAAGTGGAATATTAATATGCAGCATAACAGGGAGAAAAACTAATTCATTTATGAAGTTAAAATATTGAGACACAGGCCTACATACATTTAGGTGACATATACATCTTTTAACAAGCCACTTTTAATAACTGTATGATGATTCAGACTGAACAAACCTGGGTGTCAGGTCACTACTGTGACAAGGACAGGTACATCAAGATGCTGAACAAGTATGTGGTCTACCCATATTTATACTGTTAAAAACTTACATATGATTCTTAGCTCTGGACCAAATTTGCTGAAGCCTGCATTTATGAACACAAAATAGCATGCAATATTACACAAATTTGACCATGCAGGGTAATTATACACCAAATATGCCAAATACTTATGCTACCCTAAAGGGCAAATGTATACAAATTGTTCAATTAATTTTTCTCAGGCAACCACAAATACCTGTTCCGTTTCCATCGCTTATTCCTTTGATTCCTCAGCTTACTACAAAGAAAGGATCAGATCAAGTTACAAATGCCAAAATGAACAGTAGTAAGACAGCCGTAAATATAAAATATAACCAAACAGCCATAAAAAATTGAAATTATTTTGTTTTGGTAATAACCGAGTACTACAATATTTTCAGATCTGTATTAAGAAATTCATATAAACAACAATTTTTACCACAAAAAATACTTCCAAATCACTTGCAACATGTTTTATATCCATGGGTATTTCGTAAACTAAATATTAAAATACTCTGCCACATATATGGAAAATATCCTTAAAATAGAGGTGTTCATTCCTTTGTTTCTAGCCTCTTAACAACAAATTTGTTGAGCAAGACATTTGCTAGTGGGCTGGTTATCTGACATAAGAAAATAACATGCTACAACACAATCTAATTTTACATTCCACTAAACAGACAAAAATGTTTTTAATAAAAGCACTTTTTTCATCATATATTAAAACAGCTACTGAAAACAGTCTCCTCCAACACACAAACACATCTCACATCAAAATAACCAAGTCTGAAGTTCACTTGGGATTTATATAGCAGCACTGCAGATTTTGGTTTGCAAAGCATCCAAAGTGTAGAAAGTATTTTTGTACGCTTTATGTTTCAAATTGCCCAATAGGTAAAAACCATACATTTGGGATTCAAAGTTCTCATGGCTGTGAAGATGTCAATCAACCTGAAATACTTGTTACCATCTAAAAGACCACACAGTGACACAATCCTGAAGCCCACAAAAATCATACACATTCAAATCTGAAGAATATAACAGCCATTATCCTTCATTAATTAATTGTTCAATGAAAATAATTCGCAGATTCCAACAAACTTCTTGCAGGTATACTGTTGCAATTTCCTGCTCAAAATAGGCACAATTGAATCATCAGAAGAAGTATACATTGCTTAATAGTGTTATTTCAGTATGGTTGGATAGAAACACAAAGAATGCTCAAAACTGACTGGTCATGAGAACAAACATAAAACAGTGCACCTATTACTTCAGTAAACTATTTATGTTTACTACCAACCAGCTAAACAACAGTAAATGTCAGATGAACCATTCTATACTTTAAGCCAGAAAAGTAAAAATGTCTCACTCAGTACATCAATAGAAGATATCTATTTAGAACACAATAGATTAAAATTTTACTTCAAAAAACCTATGTAGTTGTTCATTTATGCTCACATTCTTCCTGTATATGCTGCTTTTATGTAGTTTGAGCATATTTTCTGCCTCCTAATAAATTACAGTACTGATAATGAAATATGCTCTTATACAATTTTCAAACACTAAATTGTGTATAACAATCTGCCTCTTTAGTTATATTAACAATAAACCGCATAACTGACCTTGCTGCAATTTTAAACAGACCCTTACAGAGAAGCTGTTGTGCAACCAGTTTTAATAAAATTTGGGTTGAACTCATACCTGTATTCAGACTGTACTCATAACTTTCAAAGCATTCTTAAATATGATAGCCAGGACTGCATTACTATTCCTGTTTTGATATTGATTCACCCAACAATTTGCTCATCAACACATACTGGGTGGCATGATGAGCAACATGAAAACTACATCCATTCTGACATACAGCCTGTTCTAGCCAAAACTCTACTCTAGCATTTAGGAAATGACTATACTAAGATAAAGTAATTTAATTAAGCACAGTACAAACTAAAAACTGAAACTCTCAAGCCCCGACGTTTTGGCCACTGGTGCTATTTTCAATAATAAAATTAAATTTGTAAAATATGTTACATCAACTTTTGCAACACACATGCAAACATGTAGCAAAATAATTATTAAACCAATACGTATTCTTTGCCTACGCACTGCAATATGTCAGGTTACCGAACGTGGCGACCGATCGGCAATCCATCTCCGTATTAGAGAAGCCCTCCCGGGTTCGAATCTCGGCCTAGAGCCTGGGTATCCCGAGTGATTTTTCTTAATTCAACCAGACGGCTTTCTTCCATATCGTTTTAAATTCATTATTCGTTATCTTCCTGTCATTTAATGATATAGTCTGGGGTTCCGACTGCGTTGTTAAACAAACCATAAATAATTGCAAAGTTAACCTACAACTTTAAAACAAACTAGTATAACTAACAGCACCACATAAATTCTCAGCGTCAATATTAAAACTCACCCGGCAGTTAGCCACATTTCCTCCCCATCGGAAGCAGGTGAACTACGATAATGGGTATGTTTGGTAGTGAAGCATAAAACTATAACAAATATTTTCACAATGTTGGTATTCGCGTATGACCATGACCAACACAGCGCCAAAGATGTATGAGGAATACACCACAGACTACAAAAGTTTAAAAATTACGAAGCGGTTTTAGACTTAGTATAAGTGAATATGGCTGCCCGGCATTCTTAAGTTGTTGACTTGTAAATTTGGCAAACACAAATTATGATAATTAGAAGGCTGTCTTAATAACTTCGTCACCCATTGATAATCTTTGACTGGCGAAATGCAAACTACAAACTTCTCTGAAAACGACCAAGAGCAAAGATAAAACCCCTAGTCAATCTCCACTTGCACAGACAACACATATTCATTCCCTTTATTGTGACCTTTAGTCTGGATATAAATATAATCCAGTTGGAGATCAATAGAGATACCAAGTTTTCACACAGCAAATTGCCGGGCAATAAGCATTACTTAAAACATTTTTGTTGATAAAAAGTCTAACAAAGCACAATTTAAAAATCAATATTATTTTATCTTTGCTCCTGTAACTGCTAAGTCTGTACATTTGAAAAAATAATTGAATTAATTAAAGATTACACATTGATGTACCTTAGTGAAACATCTTCTTTGCTGCATTGTATAGAAGTAAGCCTAAACAAACACAGTATTATAATTGTTATATAGCTTTTCCATCTTCTGTACTGCAAATGTACCACAAGAGACACTGACTACATAATTATTGCATTTTCATGGAAATTTGTGCATAGACTTCTGTACATATATTAGTGATTAAAAGCAATAGCTAACAAACCTCCTTCGTTCCAACTTCAACCCTCTTTCCTTCCATGCATACAGTTGGGCATTACCTACATGGTTGATGATGCCATTACACATATGCAGAAGTTCATGGGTTATAGCTTCCCCATTGCCTCACCTCACGACTTTGCGTTTCAGTCTCTATGGTAGTACCAATTGCAGGAAATTAAAAATATATTAATTTGTAGCAGTCCACAATACCACAACACCCACACAAAGTTCTCTGAAAATCCGTCTAGCCAATCGCCTCTTATGATTACATGATTCACATGTGGCCATGATCATTGGTAATGGCACCATCATCCTGCACCAGAAGATTTGGCATCCACAACATTGATATTGGTGACTATTGGGAACCAAACACCTGAGTTTGTAGTACTCTCCAAAGGAAAAAACATCCATGCGAAATTTCGCAATAAATTTCAGAAGAGCCCCTTATATTTATTAAGTCAATCATATCATGTGAACCCATATCTAAACACTAACTTCAAATCCTGCATCTGCTACTATTCTTTTCAGAATTTGTTGATGAAACATGGTATATTTAAGTTAAGATCACAAGAATAATCTGAGATCCAAGCTGAAAAACTCTTTAAAAACAAACAAAATATCCCAGTACCAAATTACCAATTTTGTTTTATTTCCACTGCAATTAATACAGAATGTTTGAACCTCAAAATAAAACTACTTTTTTGTGGCAGCTGTTTCATCCTCACGTTGATAAGCCTGATGCAGCTCCTGCTTCTTCTGATTTATTCTTTCGGCACGTCGTTTCCTGGCCTCTTTCACCTTCTGTCGCCTTGCTTCTGCTTGATCACTAAAAAATACATTAAGGAAATTAATAATACGCACATGTTCTAACAGAGTTACTACAATTGGACTACTTCCTCTTATCAAAACTTAAAAAACATACTTCAACATTTTTGTCCTAGCTTTTTCTGCCTTCTTCTTGTGAATGAACTCCATAAGCACACGCTTGTTCTTGAAGACATTACCTAAAACAATGAACGTTAATATTTTATAAACAACACAAACAATAGACTTCTGAGGTTTTTTCAATGTATATTAAGTGTTCTAAACATATTGTATATGCCATAAAAACAGTATTCTGGATTTAGATTCACCTTTATAAAGGTAAATAGTGCCACAAGCACAAGCTTGTCAGTGTCAATTAATAAAGGTTTATATGATCTGTTGCAGAACAATAAATCAAAAGCTGACAAAAATTCAGTACTAAATGTTTATGATAAATTAACAGTACTAAATTCTCTACTTTACAAGGGTATGATCTCTATGCACATAAATGATTCTGACAGGATAAAAATCTGACATTCAAGAGCACTTCCAAGCCCTGGCTCCAATGATCTCTTATGAAAAACCATTTGGAAGTCTAATACATGCAGATGAATTTACCCTTAGCTTTCATGTACAGTTGATGGTACAGATGACGGTCAATCTTTTTTGCTTCTCTATACTTCTTGAGAAGTCGCCTTAAAACTCTCATCCGATTAATCCACAGCACCTGTTAATTATAAAAATCAATGTGTACAGGAAAGAGAAAATACATTTATAAGTAAACAAAAATGTCCTGCGCTGTAGCCACGCGGTCTGAGGCATCATACTTCGGACTGGCGATATGGAATGCGTACTGGTTCGAGTCTCGGGGGAGAAGAAATTTTCTCTTGAACTTTCGACCAGTGTATGGGACCGGTGCCAACCCAGCATCGTGAGGAAATTGTGGAGCTACTACAATGAGTAGCGTCAGGAAAGCTAGCAATGGCTGGGGGTTCATCCTGCTGACCACACGTCACCCTATATCTGGTTGGATGATCGTTCACCTCTGCTTAGGCATGTGAACGTGAGGCCAGCAGTCAGGCTAGGCGGCTTTGGCTCTCTGGAGCTGTTACGCCACGGATTTAATTTTAATGTAAGTAAACAAAAATACTTCCTATGAATGAATTTATGTTCATTACAGATTTTGTTAAAAGTTCTCATGGGTTGAAAATAAGCTTTCTGGGTTTACAAGACATGTATTGTGTTAAAATATAAACATATATAATTTTTTTATATAAAATACTACATTTTGAAAAGCACTAAATGGTAATGCTCTCTCCTGTCATTCTGTTTTTTCAAAACAAATGGAAACCAGTCTCTACCATTCCTGGACTTCTACCACTTGCTATTGCTTCCAATACCTTGCCAACAATGGTTTCTGCCAACCACAGATTTCAAGTACCAAGGTTTTTCCTTCTGTATCCAGTTTCGCCAACTGTGGTACAGTTGATTCTGGTTAATTGGGCCATCAGTTAATTGGGGCAGTCATTTATTTAGGACAAATCTTAAAGAATAAACCTTTTTAATTCTTTATGTGGAACTTCACATAATTGGAGCAGCTGCTTAATTGGGCCAAGTGTTCCAGTCCCGATGTATCCCAATTAACTGGAATCCACTGTATTTGGTTTTATTATAAATTCACAGTTTCAAATGTTTATACAGAAAGAAAAATTAGCATCTTCTACACCATAAAATCCATATTTGGTATGCCCAAAGAAGCCACTGAACAAGCTTTCTAGCTTACAGATCACTAATGCACACAACCATTTTTTTACCCTTTTATATTATTATTTACACACATTATTTTTAAATGTGTTGTAAAGTATTTTTTGTGTTTCATGACAATAGGAACAATTGATAGCTGATCTTTCCTAACTTCAAATTTTCCAAAGGGCCTTCACCATGAACACACACACACACATACTATCATTAGTGCATATCTTTTCATTATACCACTAATGCCAATTCCCTCTATTTTAAGATCACAAACCTTTCGAGGCATACGAGCATTTGCTGTACCCTTCCGTTTTCCAAAACCACAATGACGCCCTTTCCTTCTGGCCTCAGTGTTCTTGCGGACACGAGCTCTGGAGTGTACAGCAACAGGTTTCTTGATGATAAGACCATCCTTAATCAGCTTACGAATGTTCTGTCCTACAAAACAACAGATACTTATAATTTATTTCCATAACAAACCATCTCACATTATTTCTTCAAGATGTAAATTTACTGTCTTCTGTGTAAAAGATTTCATGGTGTTTCACAATAGATTTCTTTGTTTTTAAAAGTGTTAGCCAGGCATCTCAGTTGACATGAATGCTCTGCCACATGTCTACAATTCAGGATTTGTCATAAGTCTAAACTCAAGACTTTGCCTGTAACATACACATAACAGATGAAAAATTACATCTAGGACTGCCATACTCTATGAGAATTCTTACATTTCTTCTTAAATTATCAATTTAAACTTACTTGAATTAGTGTTAGCAATTTCATTAATTTCATTAGGATCAAGCCACACCTTCTTCTTGCCACATCTCATAACAGAGGCCGCAAGCCTCTTCTGCAATTTAAGGGAACTGTGGAAAGATGACAAGTACAAACTTTAATTACCACAACACACACTACTTGCTCAAAAATGTTTACAGTACATTACAATATGAAAACCGACAGCACATCTTTTCAGAGGTAAGAACTGGACATAGATGAAAGCATGAGTCAAATATACTACTGTAGGTGAGAACACATAGACACATGTTCAGTGAACTCAATAAATAATGAAGAAAGACAGGAGAAACTGAATATGAATGGATACCCCACAAATTGAATAATCTGCACATAGATATTTGGACATACATAATATGAAATGTACCAAGCAAACTTGTTCTAACCTAACTGAACAAAATAAAACATACTACAAGGAGCATTTGTATAGGATCAAAATTCAACCTGGGATGTGGTGGAGTAAAGCTTACACCATAATCTGCACTCCACTTAAAGAAATTTCAGCACTTTTTCCAGAATCTGTTACCCCACAAACAAGGCAGAACGAATGCAATTCTTAACCAATTCAGTCGATTGCTAGTAAAAAGTTTGTAGGATAAAGGTGGATAGCAATTTTCAAAGCACACATTAAAGTGAGTGATCCTACATATAAAATGAACTTATCCAAGACATAATATTAAGTACCACGCTCCACTACTGGACGTCACAAGTCAACAGGAACTCAAATACACCATACAGTACGGTCCATTTGTATTTGCAAAATATTTAAGCTGTATGAAGAACGAAGACACGCATCAAATATGTATTATTTCACAACGTACAGGTTACTCGCCATGTGGTGCAATTAAATCAACCATGCCTAAAGTTCGGGAACACATATTGGAAATCTTTACATACAATAACCGTCATAGAATAACGGAGGTATTTATGTAAAACAATCTTATAAAACTAAATGCTATTGTAACATTACAATTTATAGGAACCATTTTTACCTCATCGTACCCCTACAGTACTTCACGTAGTTAGAGATCACAATATGGCGACACAACAACTAAGTTCAAAACAAATCCTACAGGAGAGTTAATTGTAGCGTATTAAAATTATTTTCATTAAAACTGCCTTAACATAATATGTTGACTTATAAGAAATATGCATATTTTATTTCGTTTATTTGTAATAATATATTAAACAACTTCGATTTCCCGAAGTCTCTCAAACCAAAGATGATAAAATGACTTAATCAAGGCTAACATACCAAACACAGGTAATAACCACAATACTAAGGGATGACAGAAACCCTGGAGATGGTTGACTGCTGATTTGTACCGCCATGTAGTCTGGCAAAGTTTTCCAACTTTTCAGAGTTCTTTGCTGCCACCATGAATCTGAGAAATTGAGAGATAATGCCCATATTACTCCCATACTACAAGCTGAAGTAACACAAATTGACCTGTAGGATTTGAGGTTTTCACTGCGGTGATTCTGAAGATGGCTATCCTCTGGGTTGTTGCATCGTGTAGTCTGGTAGAAGTTTACCGACGTTTCAAAGGTCCTTGCTGCCTCCATCATATCGCCCTGATGATGATGGCAGAAACGTCGGTTAACTTGAACCAGACTATATGGCGCAACAACCCAGAAGACAGCCATCTTCACAAATAAACCTTTTATCACCGATGTCCAAATCAAGTCGCATATTTTTGCACATTTTCTGAACGTTCATGTTCCTTGCTAGTGTATCGATCAACTGTAGTATTAACCCTTTGAAGCCGAACCAATCGAAAAACTTAGGGCTTACTCTTGCCTGAAAGGCAAGATGACGTCTCTTACTATGTTAAACCATTCCTATGTATGAGACGAGACATATCCCATTACAGACCATGCTCAATACATTGCACGTTTCATGTACTTTTGCATGCAAATAAAGAGCCTTGTTTTCTCATATCACATTAATGAACTTCTCGAATATTTAGCAATGCAGTTGAATTGTAGGTTATCTATGCTGCAGGCACATATGATCAGATGGGAAACAAAATGACAAAACACTTGTGTGGTATATTATATATATACTGTATATATTTTTTCTTTCTTTTGTAATTCTTACATAGCATATATCATCTAAAATGTTACACAGACAGTGTTATTACAAGAGGGAGGTTGTGAAGTATTACCCTAATTTATTTACAACAGGAATTTTTAAATTACAGAGAAGAAAAATAAATTTTACACTGTCTATAAATAATGTGAAGTCACTTGCATAGAGGAGGCATTGATGTTGGGTTTATCATAAAACAAACATTTGAGCACCCTGAGCTTCCCTACAAAAGTACTTGAAATAAAACTAGCATGAAGTTCTCAAAACCATTAAGGTAGAACTGATAGGTTTCTGCTGCAGATTTACGACTTCCATTTATACTTATCATTATATTTAACCAATGTTTTTTATTATTTTCAGCTATCTGATCACCCCATTTGTGGTCCTCCATGTAAGTTACTTAATATTTCTTTTAAAACTGGGTATGTCTTCAAATCAAAGATGTCTGATATATAAACTTGATTTTGTGACAAATTTCATAAAGTGTACTTGGACAATCCTTGATTTCAAGAAGCATGATTCACACTTAAACAGAGATGCAAATGGCAGCAACAAAAAATATATATTACTAAAAAAGAATAATAATAATAGAAAAGACGTTTTGAAAGGAAATTTGTGCACTTTTATAACAGGAAATGTTATGTTTTGTGTGTAGTAAAAATATTATCGTGATAAAAAAGGGCATACTTTATTGGACTAAAAGATTTGTTGCGTGTGTTTCATTCTTTCATCTCAGTACAAAATTCATGACACCTTCTTCTTCTTCTAATAATAATCATAATAATAATTACTACTATTATTATTATTACTGATGAGAATTGAATAACAAGGTATGGAAATGACAAGTTCAACTGGGGCTATGGAAAACTGGGATAGGATTGGGATGGGTAGCACTCTGCATTTGTACTGACAGTCCAGTGTCATTCACTACCTTTTAAATTTAACTCTTGTTATGTTATCAGTACAAACATTAATCTTTGTTCTTTTAAAAGTGCATAATATTCTTAACATTTAAGGTAATAAAGAAATGAAATTGAAGCTCAGATTGGCAATTTAATTTCAATATCATAATAATGTGTACTGTAGTATCACACAGCTACTGCCAGTCATGCTTCATAAAAATGACACTGAACCATAGCAAGCATTGTAAAAACAGCTTTTGTTACACAACTTTCATATTCCTAACATGTTACACTTCAAAATTATTAATAAATCATTAATAAAGTGGCAAATTCTAAGTTCATTCATAATTGCATACCTCATTTATCGTAAATGTCATGCGTTTCCTAGTCATCTTAATTAGATAAAACACTACACTGATTTCTTAAAATCTTGCTTAATTTACCGTCATCTGAAGGGAATAGTAATGAATATTGCAGTGTTTAAATCACTAACATTCTCCTCTAATTGAATGCCAGCAGGTAGTGGGACATTACTAGAGGTATCTTTGTAGAACACATAGATTGTGTGCTGATTATAGAGCACCAAAAAATGCATCGATATACATATTTTATAAAAATGTTACCATTATTTAAATGTAAATTTTTCAGTGTGCTTAATTAAGCACCACATCTGAAAATATACAGATGGCAGTAGATGGTGGGTGAGCCCCAGAACTAGTCTCGATGTAGTGGCAAACAGAAAATTTCCTGCCCCTGCTGGGAACTGAACTCAGACTGTTCATCATGTTGCATGCCTGAGTGCTGACCAAGTTACCTTAATGCATGAGTATTAAATATGATGCCCATTCTTCTGTAAGTCCTGATATTCTCGAGCTTAATATTAATCTTGAAATAAAATAAAAATTTAACTGAATAAATTCTGAAGGACAGTGAAGATTATATGAAAGCTGTGTACAAAAGTCAGCTCTCTGTAAACACATTAATGTATATAACATTCATTCAGTTGAGACAAATGTTGTTTTGTTTGGGGTAAAAACAAATAAAAATGAAACATTCACTCAAAACATGTACACGTGAGTGCACGCACACATATGCGTGCACACATGAACCACTTGTTTCTAGATGGCAGTACAAGGCATAGATATATATGTATGTAAACTTTTTCAGAAACATTAAACATTGGACGACAGTGTTTTCTTTAATTTACACAACTTTTATTACATTTTATTCAATATGGTTGATGGCAAATATTTTTTGTAAGTTCATATTTCTGTGGTCAAAATATAAGCAGAAATATATTTCAAATAAATTCATTTAGAAATAATGTACAGTGGTTTATATATTTATATGCAATATTTCATGTAAATAATGGATACAAAAACAAATCTACACATAAATATAAATGTTCCATTGAGTTTACAACCTTCTTGAAGATGAATATATCAGAAGCTGTAGGTTGCACACGAGTGAACAAAATCAAGGAATGACAAAGCTACCAGGTATTGCTCAGTACCATAATCATTCACACACTCAGTTAATGTTGCTCATTTATTCACTCCCACTTTCACAGACATTACTATATTTTACTAATCAATTCTTAGCATACATATTTTAAGACAGCAACAGATATGTGAAGAACAAGCCAGCAGGTCAGAATTACAACATGGAACAGTTGAGGTAATTTAAGAGCAGTTTAATTTATCAATGATAAATTAAATCTACTTGTGTTTCAACATAAAAACATACTGGTATGGCACTGTACTATATAGCATGGTGCAGAACATACAATTTGAGTAAGAGAAGACTTAAATTTATATAGCTAGTCATTTATAAAAAACTGTTTTAAACATGGACATTCCCTTGTTCCTAAATATGTGATTACAATAATTTATTACAAGAAAAATACCAGGTGTCATCAGCAATCACTTCTGCAAGATTTAGAAATGTTTCCATAGTTCCACCTGCCTGAAGTTACTGTTACATTTGGCCCAGAAATAAAAACTTTGCAATAATATGGATCCCACCACAGGCAAGGAAAAGACACATAAAATGTACAGAGATGTTAATTCCTTCACTTATGGCCTTATTACCACCTGTTCTTCAGGCCTGAAGATGGGGTCAGTATGTTTCTCTGAAATGCTGGTATCTACCTACTAGTGCAGACAGCATCATGACCCAGAACATCTTCACCATTGTGAGAACCTCAAATCCCATAATTATTACCACCTGCTCATATAGTAAGACACTGGATTGTGGGCAGCTTCTCTCTTATAAGATGTGACATGCTGCCATATGATCTAAGTGGAGGCTGTACCCATGTTTGAAAAATGTTTTCAGAAAATTTGTAATACTTTTCTGATATTACAATATCACTGAAAATGGTATCCTCCGACATCTGAGTTCTTTTGACACAAAGACAACAAAGTCTAGCAAACCTGATTTTCATCTGTACACCATCCAAGTATGTAAATTATTTCTGTAGCATTTTTGTGTTTCTCAGAGGTAAGTCATACATGTTCAGATTTGGGGAACATGAAGGTATATGTCATGCATTAACCCAAGAATTTATTGTTTTGAATCAACAAATTTGTTCTTGCAATCAGCTAGCTGTGAGTATTCTTTGTATTTGTGGTGTCCAACCACAGTGAGTTACAACATTAATTAATGTGAGTGTCTTGTTGAGAATCATTTTTGCATATAATGATTAGTATAGTGCACTAGCATACATTGCAGAAGTGCCAAAGTGTTATTTAAGTGTTTTGTTTGTATGCATGATTTTATATATCAATACACTGCACACAAAGGTTGAAATCATGGAAGCTAAACTTCTGTGTGCCACAAATCTTTTTACGTCAGCGTGAAGTAATGTCCTTGAATGTTGGAGCACACCACCTTGAATTGTTTCTTAATCTCAGGTAGGTAAAGTGGTTTAAATTATATTTTGAGAATGGGCAGAACCCCCATTGCATTGCATGGTACAATTTTATCTGAGAAAAACAGCCCATCACTCTGTGTACAGGAGGTAACAAAGTAGTACACAAAGGTATGAGCCTCCTTGTATATATTAATTTGGTTATAGTGTTGATATGCAGTTCACAATATTCAGATATTTACTTTAAAGTATTAATTTATTCATAGTTTCATTCTCCACTGTCAGCATTGAAGCTGTTACTGTCAGATTTGAACAAGCAATCTGCAAAGGAATCATATAAAATGCACATGACAATATATCCCAATTTAGTATCTTCATATGACCCAATTTTTTGAAATATTGTTTTTACTAACTCCACTTAAACAAAACACAGAGATTATGCTGCACAACTACCCACGTGTCTAGTTTCACAGTTTAGACAGTGAGGACTTAATCGAGTTATCCTTCAAAATGTTAGTTTCTCTGCGTTTGTTCACTTCTTTCCTTCTCTCTCATTTTGTCTGTGAAAATAAAAGATTCTATTCCACAGCACAGAGAAACACATCATTCAAATAAAAATAGCCCACTCAGAAATTACAACATATTGTATCCTTTTCCTTGATATTATCCCCTGCCTGTGTCTCAGTCAGTTCAGAATGTCACTAACCTGGTCTCTTTAGGCAGAAGCATATTGAAACTTCATACATTATTCAAAATGTATCATACGTTAATAAAACTTAAGGAGAGATTTTAAAATCTGTGGTGTAACAGCTCCAGACAGCCAAAGCCGACTAGCTTGACTGCTGGTCTCACGTTCACATGCCTAAGCAGAGGTGAACGATCATCCAACCAGATATAGGGTGACGTGTGGTCAGCACGACAAACCCCCAGTCATTGCTAGCTTTTAAGGAGAGACTTACTGGGACCAAAATCCAATTATGTTTCAAACAGTGACTAAATGCTTTCTTGTAACAACAATAATTCCTTCAGGCTTTAGGTTCCATGAGCTAGACAATGAATGAATAAATCTCTTGTTTGTGCAATCATTATTGTACAAAACATATTGAGGTATATGTATAACTGCAAATTATGGAAATAAATCACATTCAGAGAACTAGCAGAAAAGGGTTACACTGCAGTACATATAGATACTTAAAGACTTAATATGAAGGTTTGATGAAGTACAAAACTGTGTAGGATTTGAGGTTCTCATGATAGCGAGTATGAAGATGGTTATCTTTAAGTAAAAAACTGTATTTGGAAATGTGCTGTTTCTTGTATTTCAAATAAGCCAAGCTAGATGACTGGAATCCTCATGTCATCATCACATTTCTCTGATTCTTAACAGACTAATGTTGTAAAGAATTTAAACCAATCCCATGAAGCTATTATGAAATATATTGTTGTCCAGTATTTCAAAATGCCAATTTGTATTATGATACAAGAAAACGTGTGACTCTTTAGTTCAACTGCAGCTTGTCAATACTGATTTGTGAAATACCATCTCCTCAGTTGGTAGAAATTCATGATTCATACTACACAACTGCCATAAAACCACATAATGCAAGTTTTCAGTTGGATAATTAAATAAAAATGTAACTGATAAGGATATCTGGTCTGGCTGTTTATTATTATAACATGCCAAACTTGAATATTATCCACAGGTTAGAACTGATTGTAACACCACTCAATAGAGTCAAGATTGGGCACTGTAAATTATTATCATGTTAACCAAGACAAACTGATTGCACCATGCACAAGGAACATAAATTTAGTGGTATTACATTGCGTAAAAACATTAATTTCAACTTCCACATTGTAAACATAATTCTATCTATTGATTTCACTGGCCTCCATTCACAGAAAGAACCACTATGAGATTCCCTTCATTGTACAACTTGATTTGGTGAGCAGACTGTCAGTTTTAGCAATTATGAGGCATCTACTGCAGTTACTTATAAGTTCTCTGTCCGCCAGTGCCACAATTGAATATACCAGGACAACTTTATTGCCAGACTGACTCCAACTCTGCTAGTCAACGGTTTAGTGGCATGCTACCATAGTCCAGTTGGACTGTGCATATGCCATGACACATTCCAAATAAAAGTTAAGTTTATGCTCAAGAACTATTATTAACTACTATTAAAATGGGAAGAAGATACCTCATGCAAACTCAAATATTTTGAAGATGTCTGTCTTCTGGGAATTCGCACTGTGTAGCCTGGTAGAAGTTTACTGATACTTCAGAGCTGCTCAATGCCTCCATCATCACGGCAATAAATGGGGATGATGGAGGCACCAAACATCTCTGTTACATCAGAGATTATACAGCACAACATCCCAGAAGACATTCATCTTCATACTCACTGCCATGAGAACCTGAAATCTCATCAAAAATTTTCCATCAGTCGTTCACGTACTGTGGTATAATTCTTGCATATTTATACCATCACAGAGAAGCTGTCAGCAGCTAGCCTTTAGTGCCAGCATTGTCATAGTCGTCAATTGTTCATGTGGCAATTAGCATGAGATTCCATGCTGGATTGGGCAGTAAAAGCATGTACTGTCTACCAAACAATACACAGGCGAAGAGTAAAACTGAAATGTGACTGGCACATTACTATCAATTTATATACACAGTATACATACAGTTCCCAACTTACGCAAGTTTTCGGTTCCACAAACCCTTATATTAATTTTACTTATGTTAGAAATGACCATAAGTATGAATGTTTGTCATATTAAACACTTCAGTGGTACTCTACAAGCAGTAAAAATACTGTAACATTGACATGTACTCGACATAACTTCATTCAAAGTAAAAGATTATTAAACATAAATTGATGCACACAGTAAATAATTTTATTTAAAAAATCTCGAAATAAATAGTTAATAATTTATTTACTTTCAGAGGCTTTTATATAAAGTCATATTTGTGTAGGTCGAGTCTTGCGTAACTCAGGAAGGGCCTGTATAAGTTTATGTACAACAAAAGACTGTAACTTTCCAAAAACAAATACATTTTATGTTGCTACTCTTTATAACTCATAACAAAAATCATGAGTTAACTCTTCATCTCCTTTTTTCCCTTAAACCACAAATTCCGCACAAAAAACTTTCAAAATCATAATCCTAAGGTTATTTTGAAACAACACACCTGGTACTGAGCAGCATTAAAGCTCATCTTTGTACATTTTCTTGGTCAATCTGTGTTCTGTGTCTGGAATGCAGTGCAATCTAACCATAATTTAAATATATAAAAATTGACAGATGTAAATGGTAATATTTTATAAGAAACTGTTTATTCATCATACTTACCATTTATGTTCTTTTTTATCTTGCAAAGAGATGAGAAATGACAGTCTGATAATTGTAAGAATGTAACAACTCTTGCTACATTTCAAAATTTACAAGCACAGAAACAAAACAAATTGCACACTACATCAACACAGATATCCTGGTGACTGAAGTAATAATAGCTTCCTACATACTGTTCCTTTTATCACTAGTGTAACAATTTAAAATAGTATTACATGGATATTAACATTTTAATCAATCTGCTTTATTTCCTGCTTACGTTCCATTAACGGTCACATGGCTTAAGACAAATTTCAACATGCCCAAAAACAATCTTAAATTTCCACCAATCATTCATGCTTACACCATCGGTACTGGACGAGAAGAATAAAATGAAGAGAGAAGATATATATAACTTACAAATGTGATGGCAAGGCTGTTAAAAATTCACTCATCCTGCAAAGCATTTCATTTATATTATATGGCCACATGTATCCTCAAACTTATCCCATTGTTCTAACCCTGATGTTTGCCAGCTAAGTTCATTCATATACCATAATTACACATTACATAATTTCTTTTCATATTATGACAACAACAAAAATGTTTATAAAACACCACTTAACACTAAAAACACACAGGATTCCCAACACTATAGTATTCGCTCCATACAACAATTCAACTTGCAGCCTTTCATCTCTGAAGATAGTAGTAATAAAAGGGATTGATTGGTTAAATGTAACACCAATGGCTGGAATCGTGAACATTTAACCAACCATCAAAACTTATGGGAACACAAATACAACCAATTTATAGAACTTTTACTTTTGTTTGTAATCCATGTTAGAACTTAAAACATTTCAATAAGTATTTTTAAGAGCATCAAAATCATATTTATGTAAATACAAAACACATCACTTTTCCAAGACTTTCTTTATCAGAGGAGAAAAATTTTAATTGGAATAACAGTAACAAAGAAAAAACAATTTTTCCCCTCCAACTCTTTTTTTTAACATGTTGGAACATGGTCTTCTTTTGTATAAAAGCTTTGTGCACCTTAAAATCATCTTGCTCCAAGTTGCTTCATCAGAGCTTCTACTTTGACTGCAATGCGTTACCAAAACATTTAAAACATTTTAATCTCCTCTTAGACACATGCTCAAGGGACAAGTCTGATGATTATTCTGCTCCCCTCATGCTTATTACTGTTTTCAAACAAGTGAATTATGACCAAGCCAGGTGTTTAAACTTCTTATGACACACTTAAGTTAAGAGTGTAAATGGTTCCAGCATGTATGAAAGCAATGATAAAACAAAATTCACACAGAAAATTGTACAAATAAGATTAACACATACAAAATACCAGAATTGTTAGAGACAGTAACAATGTAGAAGTAATGTGATGCCTTTGTATTACAGCTACACTATTCAATATGGAAAAGAATTTTTTATACTCATGAAACAGCAACCAATTCCTTGAAGTTGTAATGCAGATGGTGATCATTACCAACTGTAAGGCTATGTCGGGGTAAAAATTGTTACAGCACACTTGGAGACTATACAGCTGTGGAAGTCACAGTCCAAAGTTTAATCACCTCCACTTCAAATATAAACAATTAAATGTGTCATTTGCCACTGGATTTCATAAATAAAATTCACTGTGGTACAGAATCCTCCAATCCTTAAAACATGCCAAATATTAAGTTTGACTCCAAGATCACTTTATCAATTTTACAATTTTGTATTTTTGTCTAAGAACAAAGGCGTTCAAGTTTCCACAGATTCCAATCTACACCCAGATCAGGTTTGGACAGGCTACCTTATTCATTACCAACATACACGTCCTTTCCTACATTAATATAAAATTCATTTAAATAAAAAATCCTATTAGTGATTCTCAGTTCCAAGATTGTTTCCTTTATCTTCAGTAAACTTGCTACACCATTTCCTTCACCTGTCATTTGCTTCTTTTTCACTTTGTAGTTGTTACAACATTCGTGGCTTTCATTCAATGAAAACTTCTATTGATTTTGTTCTTAGCTATTCTATTTCAAGAATCGCTTCATTTTTACTGCCCTCTTCAGGCAAAGAATTCACGATTTGAATTTTTCGTATATGAATTGACAGTTGGAGATCGTTTTGGTTCATCCAGAGCATATGAGCCTTCATCCTTCTTGCGCATCCGGTACACAATGAACATGACCACCAATATGGCACAGAGAAGACCAACCACTGCACCACCAATCACCGCTGCAACAACATTTTACATAAACATATCAATAGCAGTTAAGTTCACTTTATATTCAGCAAATACACAGCACAGGTTCCTAACATTGAAAAACTGCAGGTTCTCATTGCAGCAAGTATAAATATGGTTGACTTCTGGGTTGTTATGTCATGTGTCATTTGGTAGAAGTTTACTGACATTTCAGAGGTGCTTGCTGCCTCTGAAACATTGGTAAACATCTACCAGACGACACTTGGCATGACAACCCAGAAGACAACCATCTTGATTTCCCTTTTCTCACAATAATCAAAAACACTCACTCAAATACACTAATTAATATATACTGGGATACTGAGATACTGGGAATGACCCGTCCTTCAAGTGCCTGAGCACTGCGGGTCCCAACTTTTCGTTGGCTCGATCTATAGACATTAGGTAGGACTCCTTGGACGAGGGATCAGCCTGTTGCAAGGCCTCTACCTGTACATAGGACAGAACAACACAGAGAAACGCGGACAAACATCCATGGCTTGAGTGGGATTCGAACCCACGGTCCCAGCGACCAAGCGGTACAAGGCCCATACCTCAGACCGCGCAGCCACTACGGACCCCTAATTAAGATATAACGATTCCAAAGTCACAAGTATACTCCTTCTGTCAGCATTTATCTGGGAAATTCCTTTTCAACTGTTCTCCAAGATAAAGTCATACAAACATGACTGTTTCCCCATAAACTCGCATCTTTGCACCCCTTGTCCTATAACCCCAGTGGATGCAAGCACCCTTGTTACTGCTCTACTTTCAATTAACATTTCATTCCTGTTCCTCTAAAGAGAAGGTGGTTGTCTTAAATACTATGAAATTGCATATGCATGGTAGTACAAACTATTGACCAGTAGAGTCAAAGTGCAGTTTACAAAGACCTTGAGAGATAAAATATTTATTAAGTGAGATTTCAGCTTAACATGGCTGTCAGCATGAAAATGACAGCCTCCTGAGATACTGTGATGTGTAGTCTCGTAGAAGTTAATCAACGTTTCATAGGTACTTACTGCTTCTGAAACATTGATCAACATCTACAAGATTACATGGTGCAATATCCTGTCAGATGAGTAATCTTACTTACTTACTTCTGAGAAAAAAGAACCTGATCCCCAGAAGCATCAGCAAATGACTTTGACAGATAAATACTGACTGTTCCCAAAGTGCAGCTGTCTAGTTTTGTCAGCTGACATATCTGATAAAGATAATTCTAAACCCTAGTAAAGATAGCTGATTATTTTCTGATTAGTATCACTATTCTAAATGAGCAACAGTAAAATTTGTGTCAGCTATTTTTGAACGGTATTTTCTTGGGCAATGTTTTTTTGGCTGAGGCTTCAGAACTATATGGCAATGCTAACTATGAAACTATTAAATTCCATGCAATAGTGTTCTTTAGAAAATAATAGTACTCAACTGGTTATGAAATTCTCCACCTTCAATGGAATTCAAAGGTTCATTATTGTGCTCACAAGAATATGCTATTTTTCAGATTAAAGACGTCTAGGTCATAATGTTCCACATGCTGCACAATGGAGACAAGTTACAGTGGTGTGGAGTTGTATTATACCTGCAAGTATTCCTGGTTGCGCAAAGAATGATGTTGCTCTTTCTTCTGTTTTGGTGTTCATGATGTACACGTCGTTACCCTCAGTTTTATCTCCGTTCTCTTCGTCTGGTGGTGGGACCACACGCGCTGTATTGTCACTGCCTTCTACTGGTGTTGATGGAGGAACAGATTCCACATGTGTCTATACGCAACAGACAGACATGTTAACCATACTGGGAATATGGACAGATTAAAAGAAAAGCTATGACATTTTTACTTGATCAATTTTAATTTTCTACTCAAAACACTTCAGTGCAAACTAATTACCACCATCACATCTTTGAATCATGACCAAGTAGTCACATAACACAAGTAGAATGAAGTATTATCATTTCACACCAACAATTATTTTTTGTCAGGATCCATCCAATTTTTAAGATATCTAGTCCCTGAAACTGACACACAAATTTATGAAAGGATCATCATTATAAAGATATTTTAGATATTATAAATATGGAATGAACTGATTTACTCACAAATTTCTGATCAAGTGACACAATATATTTCTATCTCCTAAGAGTGTTGATGGAGGTACAAATTCCACATATGGCTATCCTGTATGTACCGCATGCCACCAAGCTGTCTTTTCACATTATACAGAGAATTATGTATTTTTTAAAAATTGTTTACTGTACATCATTGTACAACCCTACTGTAAGTGGAGTTAGAGTCAAACCAACCTCACAAGCTTACCCACCAGTTAAATCACGTGGACAGATAGACTGAAGGACAGATAGACATGGTCAGCCCTATGTGTGTTCATTTCATGTACACGGTGCAAAGAATGCATAACAATATAGAAATTGCATTTAAATACATGAATATGAAACTGGGTAATCAGCTTATATTGCAAAAACCAATAGTTTTAAAAAATTTAAAAAGTATAAAATTACACTCAGTTATAACGTTTATAAACATGCACACCCATAAGAAACGTGGAGCTCCAACAAACAGAAACTCTTCTTGAATTAATGTTCTGTCTACAAATTACACTGTAAAAATGGTTCTCTTCACTCCTATCCAAGTTCAAGGACTTCCTTTCCCCGCCAAACTGATATTGCTCTCTTTGCCATAGTCAATAACTGCGCACACCACAGCACAGTTTGCTGCTCACACATCTCACTAGTACCAAAACAAAAAAAACTCTGAATTCACCCAGCACTTTCCTTTATACAAACATGCAGACCAGTCTACAAGCCTTCAGAAACTTCTCAGTAGCACAATAGTGTTCAGCTCCATTTCGGGTAATTCAGCATATTAAAATATAAAAGAATGGATTATGCACTATTATAACTCTCCCTATTCTATGTACATCTATAGATCATGTTGTGTTTTGAGAATGAAGTGTTTGGTTTGTAACCTCCAAACTGATTTGTAAGGTTCTGATGCAGTCCTAAATTCTTAGAAAATAAAGTAGCAATTTACCTCTTCAATTTTATTTAGGTGTGTCTCTATTATTGGTAGCTTCGGCGTTGGGACAGCATCTATAACTGAAAGAAAAGAATGTCATTATATATCTGAGAACAAAGGTAGTTCTCTAGAAACTACAGTTCTAGTTATTTCTACAATTAATGCAAATAATTATTTCATAAACTCTCATACACAATTTATTCAAAATTTTAAGTTATATGCAACTTCTGATAATTTCTGTTTCCAAATAACCTTAATTAATTTTAAACTACCATCACTAGTAACCAATATTAAATCATTCTTAACAGTTAAAAATTCTTGCCAAAAATTATATCTATATGACATTTGATGTTTTGATAGCAATGATTGTAATTTCATGTGGACTTGTAGGTACACACTAGTGTTCCAAAGGAACACACGGCTGTGAAGATGGAGGCAATGTGTTCCTGCAAAATGTTGGGCCCATGTATATGCCTATATTACCAAGAAGTAAAAGCAGCCAGAGCAAGAAGCTGGCTGCTGATCTCCATTCTTCCAAATGCCTTCATTCAATGTCATTAATTTAAAGTAAGAGACCATATTTATGATCTTCAATGATGGCACAGGATCACGTCCAGCAACAAATTTTGGTATTAGTAACAAACCTTTGAGTTGGTTTAATTAGCTTAATATTAATACGTTAGATCAGAGTTTCACAAAGTGTTCTGGCCATTCAAAAGTAGTAACAGAACTAATTTCGAAGCTCAAACTGGCAGATACAAAAAGAGAGCAGAAAAACACAGAAGGGCGTGTAAACAAAGTAAAACTGTCCCTGTGCTCAAGTACTGCAACGACGATAAATACAGGGATCTTAAGCTGACAACATATGCAACTAAAGTGGTCAGCATCACACATTAATCACTTTATTTCCAACGAAAGACATTTCAGTATCAAATGGAAAGGAGACTTGGGTACAAGGGCCAGTCAGAACATGGCAGGGAAGAGATAATCCTATGGCATTAAAACTAAACAATCTAGAATTATATTAACCTATTTCTGCTGGAACACAAATGATGACACAGTGAAAATTTAATTTCAGGATGTATTGCTAAGATGTTCTGTAAATCAAGTCTAAAATACAATAAGGATAATGATGATGTTCAGTATCTTTCTTTTGATACTGTTTGTATAACAGATACCACCATTAAGTTTTAACAAAGCAGTTAATTTTAAGCAGTTACTTTCGGATGACATGAATAACAGATGGCAGAAACAAATTGAGAATTTATAGTTAAATATATAATTGCTTGTGATCATAATAAAATTTGTGAAATCCCTCAGGCAACCTGATGGTTCTAAACAACAATATTTAGACCTACCTAACATTTTCTGCAGCAGAAATGAATAACTTAACTTTGCCCATATTATTTTAGATGAAAACAAAGTGGAATTATCCTCCTATAAGTATTCTTGGCATTGTGCTTAGGCAAAGGAATATATTTACCTTTACTTGGCATTATAATGAAGTCACAAATGATCACACATATGAACATGTACCAAGATCGGGGCTACAGAAATACAACTTTAAATCTACTTGTTATTTTACAAAAACCACATGCTCATAGTCTTACAGTATGCTTCTTGTAAATATTTTATAGGTGACAATAGCAATAACTGTATGTTAAAAATTAAGATCAGGGAAGAAAAATTATTTTCCTTTTGCATCTTCTATGTTTACAACATTTTTAACAAATTCATGAACAACATGATGTCTGAGATTCTCATGACAGTGAAGATGTTATCTTCTGGGTTGTAATGAAATGCGAACTTGCTGACCCGAAGATGGAAGCTGCAAGTTCCTCTGAAAGGTTGGTACCTACTTACTGAGTGTTACAACCCAGAAGACAACATCAACATCTTCACCACTGTGAGAATGTCAATCTCCAAGAGTACAAACATATGTATCACTCTGCATACAGAAATTAAATATATGCAAGGGCAAACAGGAACAACAGTAAAACAGAAATACAAATATCATTCTTCAAAAGCATGCCAGACTATATAGATGTAATGTTCTATATAAAGAAACATTAAAACTACACCCACAAACCACAACAGTACAACACTTACTGTAATACAGCATGCTTTGCTATTATACAAGACAAAGCAACACTGCAGTTATCTATCAACCAACTCTCTGGTAGTGACCAGTGTCAATACATTCACTTCTGTTCCAGAACTTTAGTTACCATCTACAACTCTCATATTTGGAAGCTTACAAAGTAAAATACAAACTGTGCTGAGTCCATGAAAAACTCTCTTCTGCCCCCCCAAGCATTTGAGGTGCAGGAGAGAACTACCATGTATAACATGCAGGTGTGGGCTACTATGCAGGCAAGACAACAGTCCATGCCTAGAATGTAGACTCACCACCTGAACCAGATTCTGCATCTTCATCGTCAGGACCAAACCCTGACCCACTAGACTCCAGGTCATCCTTCACCTCCCGCTGACCTCCACCCGAACCCTCCAGGTTGCCATCATCATCGATGTATATGTCATCTCGTGACCAGTACGGACTGCTGGTCTGTAACACAACAGAGCCACAAACATAGAAAATTGCCCGACAGTGTTCGGAGTTTCACACTTATCCCAGACATAACCCTAATGACCTCAGTCTAACATGTGTAATCACATTCCAGTCTGATTGATGTCCGACAAACTAGAATTCAAACAAAACAAACTGAAAGTTCATGTTTAAGAGTGTGACACAAGTTCAAATAAATTAACATCAAAAAGAGTTCTCTGCTAGACTCATTTTTGACATCCAAAAAATCATGATCAAGTCCAATGATGAATTTAGCATATTTATTTTAAAACTCACATTAATAAATAGACTATATGGACTTTCATATTTTAAAATAAATAGGCTTTAAATGGCTAAATTCTTTTCATGATTATAAATACAGTCAGCCCTTCATTTGCAAAGTGTCCCTACACACGACTCTTATTACATAGCTAACTGTGTCACCCTCGCTTCGTACAAAGGATTGAATGATCTCAGTTTCCGCCACAACTAGCTACAGATGTAGCTACTACTTCCCATTACAACTCTCAGACACCTTTTTATATTAATTTTCAACTCAAGATGCCCAAAGGGAAGTGTATTTTGGTTCAATAATATATCACAAACACACCTATAAATTTTACATCAAACTTTATATGTATGTTTTAAAACAGGTGACATCAATCATTTACAGATTGTTTTAAAGATGATTAAACAATTCAATGTGAAATGAGTTTTCAGGCTTCATGGGATTCACATTATCTTTTCATACTTGACAGCAGAGGGAAATATAGAATGGTGGATGAGCTGAACCCAACATCTTATATTCATTACATGTAATAAAAAAGACATGTGGGTTTTTGTCACCACAGCATAATGCATCCTCAAGTTGTGGATGCAGGAGATGGCCTCCAGATATGAAGAGCAGCTGTGAATGTGCTGAATGAGCAATCAGACATCCAACAAGAGAACAAAATAAATTATAAGCACCACCAATATGAAACCCAATGACAATATAATCGATGACAAAGTCGGAAATGTCAATATAATTAAAACAAAATCCAAAAATGTGACCATGAGTGGCATACCAAATAATGTTTTATTAAATAGCAGGAACAAGGATTACTACACAGTAAATTTTATTCTAAATGAAGAGAATAAATGCCACAGTAACTGATAAAAGCTATGCTTTCATTTTAATATATGAAACCAAGCTCAAAGTTTTATGATAAATTCTCACTCCTGACATTTTAACTTCGAAATTATCACAGTCTATGGCAGTTTCTCAATAAGACAAGCAAGTAACATGCAGATCATACAACTGCAATTACTTTGTGGCTCTTCCTCTACTTTTTCAAATTATTTCATCATCAACCATTTCCAGTTCTTCATAAAAAAGGATTAAAATAATTAACTCTGGGCACACTTTATTATTTATACCTGGATATCAAACATAAAAAGTTTAAATTATTTAAATATCAGCAACAATTTGAAAGTATTCCACAATAATATATGTATTTCTGTACTTTTGGATATTGAAACTGAACAGTGCACATGATACTGTAACTGAAGACGGCATTTCTGAAACATGTGCATCATTGCAATTAAAATATTTAATATCAATCACATTACCTAATTACAACCAAAATGAAGAAAATGCAGGTGTTTGCAGTTTATATCCGTGTTTCTTGATAGAACTGAAATTTCATACAACCACAAAGCAACATTCTGAGAACAGTTTTCTTCGCCCACCTGAAAAGACTTCTAAAAGTCCTGGGAGGTGTGGCGGCTGCAGTGATGTGTAAATGCTCGGTTTTATGACCTACTTGGGGAGGAAGCAGACTGCAAGTCAGACAGTACAGGGCAGTGTGAGAGAGGGGAGTGTGAATGGGGAGCAAGCGAGACAGACTGTTGTAAGGGTGTAGGTGAATCAATCAATACTGCTGACTGGTGCTGCAGCCTGGCCACAGGGATACCAAATTTACTACATACCACCAACATTCTTCACTGCACACCTGACTCAAATGCAGTCTACAGTTTGTTTTCTCACAGGAGTTGAGTGGTTACACTCATTAGTAATCCTCTGCCTCATTTTCAATGATCCTTTAGTCTTACACAACATAAATGTGAGGACAAGAGTAGAAAGGATTTTATCCAAAATACATAAAAACCACTGCTTCTATTACTAAATTACTGTACGACCCAATACAAATCCCAAACCACATTTACATTGCGTCTTGCACTTTATTTGTAAATTACATCTTGTACTGCCTCTCTCTTTTGAAATGTCTGTTTGTTTCTCTAAAGATTAAAAGAGACAGGTTAGTGAGGTCAAACATGAATAAGCCCTTTACATTTGATAGCACTCATATTTCTAGTAGAAAATGTGTGAATAACATGTCACCATACAAAGGGCATGGAAGTTAAAAATGTCTCATCAGTTATCATCGAGACATCAATAATTTCATAAAACCATCATACTTTCACATTTCTCTAAAACACATACTGTAACACAAATGCAGGTATGGTCTTCTGGGTTATGACACCATGTAGTATTATAAGCCTTTAAGGTTTTAAACTAAAATATTATATGCCTCCTCATCTCCCACATGCATACGACATACTTCTTGATGTATTGGCTGAAAAAGTACACCAAATACGTTAATTCTGATCAAACAAATGACAAAGGCATGACGCTGCAGAGGAAACAAGACAAACAGCCTACTTATACTACCATTGTATGAGCGCTTCATCTAGACCAGTGATATTCAACCTGGGGTACACGAAGACATCTTAAGGGGTACATGAAATTTAAAAAAAAAATTATTTTATGATAAACAATGAATAATCAGTAATGTAATTTGTTTAATTTATTTTAGATGTAGATTATATACTATGTACAGCTTGAAGTATAAACCAACAACTTTGGGGGTACAAAGTTGAAGAGAAATTATATCTGGGGGTACGCGAACAAAAAAAGTTTGAATACCACTGGTCTAGACTATAAAAGGTGACGACTATTAAGCATTCTTTAATTTATGCCTGTAAGAGATGAATGGAATCAATATACTGTACTGCTCAGGTGCTTGATGTGGCTTCCAAAGGCAACACAGTACACATCCCATTTGAATGCAATCTCATACCAAAACATATCTTCACTGACACTCATTGCCACATCAGAGATTCTATCTTGCCATGTCACCTGACCTCACACCCCTTGATTTTAATTTCTGGAGTTACATAAAGGGCAAAGTGTATGCCCCTCCCTTCCAAGATCCTTATGCGAACTCTGAAATGGAATACATGATGTGGTAATGAGTATCAATAAAAATATGCCATGGAAAGTATTGGACGAGACTGTATGTGTTTCTGTTACAAATGCTATTTGCAAGGACACCAACATCTATAAGATATTAATGGTATATTTTGCTTACCAATATTTTATATCATAAATTGTAATTAATTTTTTTTGTAACTTTTTGTTCATATTTTGTATTGTTCTATATTGTACATCAGGACCCTGGGTTTTATTAAAGTATTTTTTATTCTTTATTCCATTTGCAGATTTTACAGAATGATATATCACAGAAGGTATTATTTACCTTCTATGATATATCGTTTTGTTGTTTCTTATAGTGCTTGGCTAAAATTGACATTCAGCTGTTTTTCAAACACATGAATGCATGAAATCAATTGACTGCTAAACATCGTTCAAGAGAAATTTTATGTAGATCTTTGTGGAATTTATATTTCACCTAATGAAATAATATCAACAACAGACACTAATAGCTAATGCATCCATTTCCAATACCTCCTTATTTCCTAGAACTTTCCTAACTGCTTATTCCACAAAAATTAAAAATGGGGGACAAATGGTCCATTAATTTTAGAACACTAAATTTTAAGTACATCAGATGAATGATCACCTGTACATTTCATTCAAACACTTCTTGTCAATGTTAATAATTATTCACTCAAATGAAGAACAAAGTTCAACAGAATAATTAGACATCATCAGACATCATTAACTCACTGTTTTTGATTAACCAAGGTATGTATCCTCTTAGAACTTCCAAATGTAGTCAGAGTTCCATACCATAATTCTTTCCTAGCTTTTATACTACCATATATATGTAGTCTATATCTATACCTAATACTTTGGAATGACGATAACAAATCAGAATTACAAAGTTACAAGAATATTCACTTCAGGGAACACTTGCTACAATTCTGTTCCATCCTGATTAGAGAAACCTAAATACTGAAACAGAACAATAATTTGTATGTGAAGATTTGTCGTTTCCCAAATAAAAACACAGAATACAGGTACCTGAGAAAAGCGTGCAGAGGAGCTTATTTAAACCAGTGAGACAGGAGGATGGAGAAAATTGTATAATGAGGGATCTTCATCAATTTTTACTGTTCACAAAATATTAATGGGGTGAACAGAATGAAATGTGCAGGATATGTAGCAGGCACGAAAGACAGGAATTGCAATCAACTTTAGATAGAAAACCTGAACGTGAGAGATCGCTTGAGAGGCTGAGGCACAAATGGAAGGATAATATTAAAATGGATATTATAAACAGAGTATGAGGAGACAAAATTTATTTATATGATTTAGGATGGGATCCAGCGATGAGCTCATGGAAACACAGCGATGAACTGTCAATGTTTTCTAAAAGCCATGCAGTTTCTTGGCCAACTGATCAACTATCATCTTTCCAAGAAGGACTTTCTCAATGGAGTTGGCACAGTTACAGTTTGTGCTATTGAAGAGCCATTTTTGATAAAAGAAACATAACACATTACCTGCAGGTTCTCTGTAAAGTCTAAATATGCACTAGTGATCTGAATAACCTCATCTACATACAGAACCAACCTTGGCACAATAATACAACTGGATTAGATTTTGTACAGCTCAAGGTTCATGTTTCTTATGAATTACAAACAAAGCCTAATTAAATAATGTACAGTAAGGCATTTCTACAATAACTATTTCCAATTAGAAAAACATATAA